TCCTCCGCTGAGCCTTCTCGGCGGCTCCTTTGTACGTGATCCCGGCGGATTCCCGCCTGCCCGCCCTCAGTTCCCAGGCTGGCGGCCGACTCTCGTGCGAGGCTTCACCCGGGGCCCAGAGGAGGCGGCTGCAGACCCCGCTCGGCCTCCCCCCCCCCTACCACCCCATTCGCCCGGCCGGCTGAGGAGGATGGGCGGCGCAGCCCGGGCCCAACGGGGGCCGCCCCTCCCTCCCTCCCTCCCTCAGCCCTGCGGCGGGCAGCTCGGGCGGGCGCCGGGCGGGAAAGGCCGCCCCCCTCACGCACCGCGGGTCCTCGAAGCGCACGAAGGCGAAGGGCACCAGGCCGCGCTTGCTCTTCAGCTCGATGTCGCGGATGCGGCCGTACTTGTAGAAGAGCTCCTCCAGGTCCTTCTCGCGCACGTCGGGCGGCAGGTTGCCCACGTAGATGCGCCCGTCCGCCCCGGCGCTGCCTCCCCCGCGCCCGCCGCCGGACATCCCGGGCCCGCCCCCGTAGTCCATCATGTCCCGGCCCCAGCCCCCGGACATCTCGCTCGCTCGCTCGCTCGCCCGCCCGCTCGCTTCCCGCGCGGCCTTCCCTCGCAGCCGCCTGACGGAGGGCAGAAAAGAGGAACGCGGCGCCCGCCTTAAAGGGGAGGAGGCAGCGGCCGCGCGCCGGAAGCAGGCCCGGCCTGGCAGGCAGGGTCGGAGGGCGCATGCTCGGAGGAGCGCGCGCCCATCCCGCCCGAAAACGCGGGGGGGAAATGGGCGCCGGGCCCGCTCGGCCGCGGGGCGGGACTTCCGGGCCCGGCTGCTCTGCTGCCGGGATTGCGCGATGGGCCCGGCTGGGCCGTCCGGCCAAGCCACAGCCTGGAATTGCACCCAATTGCAGGGTGGTGGGAGACCGCGGCTCGGCGTCGATTTAGGGCAGGGGTGCTCAACCTTAGCAACTTTAAGACTTGTGGACTTCAATTCCCAGCAAAGCTGGCTGAGGAATTCTGGGAGTTGAGGTCCACAAGTCTTAAAGTTGCCAAGGTTGGAGACCCCTGATCTAGGGCGTTCCGGTGATGCCCTTGGACCCGCTCCACCAGCCCTGCGTTTAGTTCTGCCTCTTCCCGGCTCTGCTTCTCTTGGGGACGCAGCCTGGGATCCCTGGGAAGGCAGCTCACTTGTTCGTGGGCTTTGTCCTCTCTGCATTTTATCCATTAACACAGTGTTTCTCAACCTTGACAATTTTAAGGCATGTGGACTTCAACTCCCAGAATTCCTCAGCCAGCATGTCTGGCTGTGGAATTCTGGGAGTTGAAGTCCACATGCCTTAAAATTGTCACGGTTGAGAAACACTGAGTATTACAGTCTTAGCTTAATGGCAATAATTGCAGCCCAAAGGTAACCACTAACTTGTGGCCAAATGTGTGGTTTAAAGGGATTGGTTCGTGCAACACACCAAACTAAAGTGTGCTTCACACAATGCAGAGTCGCAAAAGTAGCCTATTTGGCAGTTCTTGAATCACGTACTGGCTGTATGGATTTCATCCTATGCAGTCTGTAAATGAAGCGTAGGTGATTAATGTTTAACAACCAGAGGTGTGCTAATTAGTGGTTGTGTTTGTATGACCGTAAATAAAAGACATACAGCTTTCATTAGCAGCTTGATGGCTTGACTGTATAACATTCTGACAGCTGTGCCCTTTGAAGAGATGTGTGGATGGGTAAAGCATATCTTGGACCTTTTAAAATTAAACCATTCTGACTCATAATCACATACAAGCACACCCAACTTTGGCCTGGAGCTATATATTTTATACCATTTGTTAGCTACAAATTATAGCTAACCAATCAGAACTGCGATTTTGATACTGCATTCTGAATCAAAATCTCGAAACCACATTATGACTGATGGGATCACACAACTCATTATGTAGTTTGTTTGGATTTGGTATAGCCAGAAAGATAGTTAACCACAGTTAATTGTTCATAGCTTTGTAAATAAAATATTAATTTGGAAACATCTGCTTTATTTAATCAGTTTATATACTGGTAGCTGCCCATCTCAGTGAGTAACTCTGGTTGGCAAACATATTAAATAAACTCTAGACCTAGATTTAGATAAACCTAAATTTAGACATCTAGGAGTCCTAATGGACAATCACTTATGTATGAGCCAGAAGTGTGCTGCAACTTCCAAAAAAGCCAATGCAGTCTTAGGCTACATCAACAGAAGGATGGTATCAAGATCACATGAACTGTTAGTACCGCTTTATACTGCACTGGTAATACCACACTTGAAATACTGAATCCAGTTTTGGCCACTACAATACAAAAAAAGATGCTGAGACTCTAGAAAAAAAGTGCAGAGAACAGCAGCAAAGATCGCACCACAGCATTCTGGAATTCAAGCTAAGGCGTTCATAAAAAGGCCACGTAGAATGTGTTGCAGTAGTTCAGTGACTAGAATATGAGTGACATTCTGAAGAGCCTCCAGATCTAGGAAAGGGCACAACTTGCAACCAGATGGAGTTGTGCAAAAGGCCTTCCAGACCACAACCAACATTTGCTATTGAAGCCACAGCTGTGACTATAGGACAGTGATGGTGAACCTTTTAGAGACCAAGTGCCCCAAAATTGGCCCTATCCCCTGCCCTGCCCCCACCCTGTCCCGTACCCACCTGCCTTCAGGGCCACTCACCGCCTCCAGGGCCCACCGCAGATCACCCAGGCAGCCCAGCAGCGCCATGGCAGCACGCCCTCTGCCCGCACCCTGCAGCATCAACTGTGCAGGATGGGGCGTGAGGGCAGAGTCTTGTCTATACTGCCTGGCTGCCATGTCTTTGGCTGTGCTGCTCCGTGTGGGCCATGCTCAGGGGCGACTCTCCTCCAGGGGGGCTGCTGGTGAGGAGGGGGTCATGGGGGGGAGGTGAGGGTGGGGCAACAGCACGCGTGCCCACAGAGAAGGCTCCGAGTGCCGCCTCTGGCACATGTGCCATAGGTTCGCCACCACTGCTATAGGAAGACTCCCAGCTTGCGTGCCAATGTTGAAGGGGAACCTTGCTATCATCCAAGTTCAGTGAGAGAATTCATAGTTTCTTTGCATTGCTAATTTCTTGGCTCAAAAACTGCCACTGTTAGTCCTCAACGTACAACCATAAATGAGTCTGGAATTTTGGTCATAGGTTATTGCAATAACTTTATGTCAGGGGTCTTCAAACTTGGCAACTTTAAGACTTGTGGAAGACCTCAGGAATTCTGGGAGTTGAAGTCCACAAGTCTTAAAGTTGCCAAGTTTGAAGACCCCTGATTTATGTGGTCCTGATACTCTCCCTCTGTTATTGCAGTCTAGGACCACATTGGCTTTTTTGGCAGCTGCATCACGGGGCTGGCTGGTTTAGTTTATGAATGGATAATTTTGCATTTAAAGAAAAACGGATCTGGCTATTTTTCTGAAGTTCAAAAGAAAGCATGAATTTCATGCTAAAATGCCGATATCACTTTAATTTTCAGTAGGATAAAGCCTAACATTCCACTGAAACCCACAGATCTCTAACTTGCTGAGGTTGAGAAGCACTGACCTGGTAATAATAATAATTATTATTAATAATTACACGGGAGATAATTTGGGTAAGGAATGTTAAGTTTACCCAAGCTCAAAATTTACGAGAAAATTTTTATAAAATGTTTTACAGATGGCACCTTGATCCACAAAAGATGTCTCGTATGTATTCTAATTTACAGCCCAAATGTTGGAGGTGCGGTTGTATGGATGCAACCTACTATCATATTTGGTGGTCTTGTAGAAATATAAAGGCTTTTTGGATTAAGATTTGGTGGAATATTCAAAAAATTTTTAATAGAAGGATAAAATTTACACCACAACTATTTTTGTTAGGTATTATTGAAGATAGTGATAGTAAAGAGATTATTTTAATGTTGAATTTTATTACGGCAGCAAGGTTATTGATTGGGCAATATTGGAGAAAAGACTTTTTGCCTACTATAGAGGAATGGTTTTTTAAACTTTCTTATTTATCAGAAATGGCAAAAATATCGGCTTATCTGAAAGACCATTCACAAGAGAGATACAACTCTGTATGGAAAAGATGGGTAAATGTTGTTCAGAACAAAGATGGGATTAGAAAGTATTATTTAGCCTTTGAATAACTTATTGTATAAAGTTGTTATGGTTAGATTTGTTGATTTTATTGTAATGGAGTTAAAGGGGTTTTAAATTTTTTAGGATTTATGTATAATTGATTGATCTTTAATTTTTTATGTTCTTTTTTTGTTGTTTTTAGCTCTGTACTCAGCTCTGGGAAGGGGGGGGAGGGCTAATGGGAGGGGGGAGGGAGAGAGATGGGGAGGGATTTTATTGTAAAATGTTTATAATTTTTTTAATAAAAATAATTATTAATAATTATTAGCTTTTAATTATTTTTAATTATTATTATTATTATTAATAATGAGAATAATAATGAGAATAATGAGAATAATAATAATAATAATAAATAATAATAAAGCTGGAAGGGACCTTAGAGGTCATCTAGTCCAACCCCCTGCCCAGGCAGGAAACCCTATACCATTTCGGACAAAGGGCTGTCCAGTCTCTTCTTAAAAACTTCCCTAGAGAAGGACAGGGCGAAATTCATTGCGAGACCTTTCTCCGAGGAGGAGAATCTCTGCCCATGCTCTGAGAAGAAACTCTACCTCTGCTACCGAATTTCTTTTTTTAAGTATTGGCTTCGTTTAGGATTCCGTTCCGTTTCGCCCAACCGGTTCGCTCCGAGTCGCGTGCCCGGACAGGCTCTGAAACCGCCCCTCCCGTCGCCACGGCAACGGACGCCGGCGCGGTGCATGCCGGCTCGCAATAAAATGCCACAATAAAAGCCGGAGGGAGGCGGGGGCGCTCCAGCCAATGAGCTGCCAGGTGTATTGTTGCCGCCAATGACCGTTGCCTGCGGGACGGAGCGCGGCGCGTCGGGCGTGGCCGTGGGCCGGAGGGAGGGAGGGGCGAGGCCGGCGGCCGGGCGGGCGAGCGGCATTCGAGGCGGGCAGGGCTGCTGAGCGCGCGCGCGGGCTTTTCCTCAGGGCGTCACGCGACGGGGGACCCGGCGGAGCGCCCAGGTGCCAACTTGCTCACCGGCTCCACCAACGTCCCTTCCCGCTCTCCTCAGAAGCAGCCCGGCAGCAGCGGCCGCACCACCGCACGGTGAGGGGAGCCGGGACGGCTCGGCCGGGCGACGATCGGGGCCTCACACCGCTCCTCACGTTCCCAGCCGCGGGGACGCGGGCGGACTTCTGGGGACGGTGGTCGCTCCGCTCAGGCCCGGCATCCGCGGGGCCGTCTTGACACGCGTGGGACGCTTTCGCCGGATGCTCGCTGCGAGGAGTTTGGGGGGGGGGCTCCTGCCCGGCTGCCGAGCGTGGCCTCCGCCGAAATCCAGCCGAATTGGGCGCCCGAGAGGCAGAAGCGCCTCCAGCTCGGCCTCCTTGCCTGGCGGTTTGGGGCTTCCCCCCAAAAAAAATTTTTTAGGTGCACCGAGGCGCCCCGGTGGAGTGCCGCGTTATTTTCCCTGGCATCCCCTCCTGCAGCTTCCCCAGAGAAGCGTCTTGGGTTGCGAGCCATCTGCGGCTCTCCTGCGTGTTGGCATCGTGGAGGAAGCGCGAAGGGGTTTTGTTTTTTTGGGGGGGGGAGTATGGGGGCGATGATTTAATTCGGAGGCAAAGAACGGTCGTGCAGGGAAACGGAGGGGGAAGGAGGCTAAGTGGTGCAGTGGGGGAAACATCTGAAGGGATTTTGGATTTTATCAGCTGCTCTGCCTAATGCAGGGGTAGGCAGCCTTGGCTCTTTTATGACTGGTGGACTTCAACTCCCAGAATCCCTGAGCCAGGATGCGGGGGGGGGGAACTATGGCCCCCTTCTTCACTGGTGGACTTCAACTCCCAGAATTCCTGAGCCAGCATGGAGGAAACTTTGGCCCCTTCATGATTGGTGGACTTCAACTCCCAGAATTCCTAAGCCAGCATAAGGGAACTATGGCCCCCTTCTTCACTGGTGGACTTCAACTCCCAGAATTCCTCAGCCACCATGGAGGAAACGTTGGCCCCTTCATGATTGGTGGACTTCAACTCCCAGAATTCCTCAGCCACCATGGAGGAAACGTTGGCCCCTTCATGATTGGTGGACTTCAACTCCCAGAATTCCTAAGCCAGCATGGGGGAACTATGGCCCCTTCATGACTTGTGGACTTCATCTACCAGAATTCCTGAACCAGCATGGCTCAGCTTGGAAACCTCTCCCTTTTCCCCCAGCATGGCTGGCTCAGGAATTCTGGGAGTTGAAGTCCATGAGTCATAAAAGAGCCAAGGTTACCTACCTCGGGCCTAGGCCTAGGTCGCTTTATGACTCATGGACTTCAACTCCCAGAATTCCTGAGCCAGCCTGGCTCAGCTTGGAAACCTCTCCCTTTCCCCTCAGCATGGCTGGCTCAGGAATTCTGGGAGTTGAAGTCCATGAGTCATAAAAGAGCCAAGGTTGCCTACCCCTGGCCTAATGGCTAGCTTTTGATGGGCAACTTTGAAGTGTTCCTTTGTGTCTAATCTGAGGCTTTGTCGTTTTTTTCTTAATATAGCTTAATTAGTTTTATGTAAACTGGGTCCGTAGTGTCAAGATAAAAATAATATTTATATAGTGCCTAAAGGATTCTAGAGCTTTTCAATAACAACATTCTGGTTTACAGTTTAATAACTGGTATAAGCAGTGACCAGATCATGGACCAAATCAACATCGGGGTTGAGAGCCAGTTAGGTGGCTGAGGAGGGAATCCTATTGAGGGAATCCTACTGCTAATACTAAAATAACAAGGTTTCTCCCCACTTCCTTCTTTCAGGGAATATGGAAATGGTGGATGCTGATTATCTACAGAAGGAAAGAATATTTGGGTTTGAGGGGACTTGCTCAAGGAGTATTGGCGGTGGTCTGTGGCATCGAAAATTAAGATACTTTTTGTGGGGGATAACAGTGGTTGAACAGTGAGGTCCATTGGGGTAGGAGACAGACATTGCTCAATGGATTTGGTATGAAAGAGTTAACATTTGGGATATAGCACTGCAGGGGCTATTGAAATAACGGAGAATTTGGTAACATTGGTATCTCTGGTGAGCCTGACCAACCAGCCTTTTTTGTGCAAAAGGTAACTGCGCACCTGCAAGTGGGTGGAGTAAAAAGAGACGCCCAGGAGCAGTCAGATTCTGCTTATTACAAGGCAATACATGAAACATAAAGATACGTCTGCTTATTTTAGTAGTGTATAGGTTGTAGCTATGGATGCAAGGAGAGGTAAAGTCTCAACATCTCTGACTTCATGAGCACGTACACCAGAGGTGTCAAACTGTCGGCCACGGGCCAGTTTCATCATACTGAAGCCGCGCCCACCCCATTGCTGGCAATGCAAAAAGAGTCACGATAGATCGTGACACGTCATGTGACGTGGCAAGTTTGACACCCGTGACATACACAGTCTGCTTTCTTACAGAATGTTTGCATGTTTCAAACTTGCCAGTCTAGTCTACAGGTGGTATATCCTGGTGGTCTCCCATCATGGAAATAAAATCCAACCATGTTTAGCTTTTGAAATGAATGTTTTGCATATTGATCCTTTCCAGGAGAAGGATTCTGAGTACTTGCCAGAAATAATTACAGATAGTCCTTGTCGAACAGCCACTCTTACGGCAGGTGTTCAAAGTTTTGATAGAACTGAACAAGAGAGTTTTATGACTGTTCCTAGTAATTGTGGCCATTGCAGTGCCCTTGTGGTCACATAATCGCTATTTGGGTGCTTGGCAATAAGCTAGCAATTATTGTTGCAGTGTTCTGTACTCACATAATCGCCATTTGCAACCTTCACTGCTGGCTTCTGGCGAGCAAATAGAATGGGAAGTCAGCAGGAGATCACAAGTGATAATCATGACCATGGGACACTGCAAGTGTGCTGGATTCCCTAATGACAACAACTGGGAACTGCCGAACTGTTGTCATAAATTGGCAGTCATGTGATGTCATATTTTATGACCATATCACTTAGTGCAGGGGTGTCAAACTGCCAGCCTACGGGCTGGTTTCATCATGCAGAGGCTGTGCCCACCCCAGTTCAGCAATGCAAAAAAAGTTGCAATACACGTCATATGGGATGGCGAGTTTGACCCCTGTGACTTCATGTATCATTAAACAACGACTGCTTGTGTAGCTAAATATGAGTAGGTTTGTTTTTATCTTTGGGCTAAACCTTTGTTTGTATTTTAAAAAGACCCTATCGGTGCTTCTAAAAATTAAGCTTTTGAACCTCTTGTTTGCAGAACAGATGAATTAAATAATCATTTATCATTCTTTGTAGGTAATCATGAGTGATCGAAAGGCTGTGATCAAAAATGCAGATATGTCTGAGGAGATGCAGCAGGACTCTGTGGAGTGTGCTACACAGGCCTTGGAAAAATATAACATTGAGAAAGATATTGCTGCTCACATAAAGAAGGTAGTGCTCAATCATCATCTCATACTACTAGCTTAGAATTTTAATTTAGAAAAGAAGCTGACAAGAATATAATCTAAACTGAGGTTATAAATATTGAAGTGATACCAAGTCCTAACTGGCAAAAAAGATATCACTTGTGCGAATAGAAAGAAAATTTGTTCTGGACCATGCCAGACGTGTCCCAGAATTTGCAGGGTGGGTTTGGTGACTTCAGGAAATAAAATTCCTGCACCAGAAATTATTTGTTGCATTCTTATCCTGGACCATACAAGCTTGTTTCAAGGCCAGACTGCTCCCAGTATATTTCAAGTTTGGGGTATTTACTTCCAGAAACTTGGAAATTGTCTGTTGAATGACAAGGTCCTGAGGATGTTTGGCATAAACCCAGAGGGAGGATGGACGTTTCTAGAGTTCTTCAGAAAATTCGGTTCCCAAATTGGTGGGTTTTGTATAACTTTAATTGACCCACAGCTACAATCTTCTGCATTTGGCTGACTAATAAGAGTCAACATTAAGCATAGAAAAATACTGATAAAATCTTTACACTTAATGCCTTAATAACTGTAGCAATGTAAATATTTTTTTATTATCCAGTGTAATATTATCCCAAGATGCATAGGTTAATATGAGATAGTAGGTTTTTGTAAAAGATCAACTGAGTGAAAAGGTATGTGGGTACTCATAAAAACCAATTTAATGATGCTAGTCCGTTGTAAGCAAAATTCTCTGCATCATGGCTTTCAGTGATAAATGAAAGCCTACTCCTACTGTTATTCCTCTATGTACTATGCTTTTTTGGTATATACAAATCCTGCCATTGTGGGACTACAACTTTTTCAACTCAACTATATTCAGTTGCTCTTCTGAACTATGCTGTTCCAGAACTGATCCCTGGTTTTCCAGACACATATCCTCAGAACCAAATGGGCCCTTTCCAATTCAGAAAGTTGTTCCTAGATCAGGGTGGCCCGGGGGCATGGAAGATACCAGGATGTCCCAGAACCATAAGAGTTTGCATCTCTAATATTTTACATATAGCTGAAAGCGTTATCAGTAGCACATACTGATTTAATTAACTGGAAAAAAATAATGCATAGATGCCTTTATAAAGTTTCCCTAGAAACTGCAGAATTGGCTAACGTGGTCATATGAGTTCTTGCATTTTATTATCACTTCAAATGTTTAAGGGCTTGGGGTTGTCACTTTTTGTCTACACACCCCCCCAAAAATTGGTGAAGACATTGGGATATTCTGGAACTAAAACTTGCTCAAGACTTAGGTCACTAACTTTGAATAAGTCATGCTTTCCAGTATAATAGAGTGAATAAAAATATTAACATCTATGATGCTAAAATTTTAAGGGACTCTCTTCCAGGAGTTTGACAAGAAATACAATCCTACTTGGCACTGCATTGTGGGAAGAAATTTTGGCAGCTATGTGACTCACGAGACCAAACACTTCATCTACTTTTACCTGGGTCAAGTTGCTATTCTCCTTTTCAAATCTGGTTAGAAGTATGGGACCTTTTCACCCAAATATGCATTCGGTTACAGGACTGCACGCTAATTCCAAATAGACTGAAGTCTTCAGCCTTCCCCAGGGAACATACTTTGATCTTCAAGCCTTTTGTTTTAATGATAGGTACTCCTATGTACCAATTTGTGTTTTTGTTGTGGCCATAAAAAATAGCAAAAAAGTAAGCTTGTATGTATTTTTTTTCTAAAACAATCCATCCAAGTTTTCTAATAAAACCGTTGGGTATTTATCCTTTAACTTACTCTAATATTTCTATATTTGGGGTAGCTCTTCCATAGAACCAGTGGAGTTCTATATTACACTGAAGCTGAAAATTGTTTAGCTAATCAACTCATGTTTTCCAAGCTCAACTCCAAAGTTTGGTAGGCTCAGTCTAGATTATTATATTTGAGTTAAAATTTGAAAATGCTTTCTTGTATCAGCTAACATATCCAGCTTTCTTACATTTAATTTTATTGGCTTCAAATGCTTTTTAAACAAAGCGGTTAAGAGAGCACAAAATAGAATTCTTCTAACTCAGACTTCTTTAGACGCACATCTGTGCAAGAGAATGTCCTGTAATGGAATGATTTAAAAAAATATTTGAAATCCTCCATATGCAGTTTATGAATGCTTAATTAGAGCATTTTTGGTTAAATATCTCTGTATATGTCAGGTAAACAAAACTGTACAGAGCTTGTTGTCTCTGTTATACAGCTTCAGCTTTAAGGATTATTAACCTTACGTGCTAGTTGGCTCAGTACAATAATAGTATATATTAACACAGTACTTAATAAAGACCTGAGGTTGAAAGTCTAGCAGATTATCTCATAGGAAATGAGTGCTGAATGTTTCAGTACATTTTAAGGACTAGAGCATCCCACATTTGGAAAAATGTGTAACTGCGCTTCTCTCTTGATAGAGAGGGATCTAATTGTCCTGCTTACACATGTATATAATGGATTGGTTGACATGTTGCAGCATCAGCTCTGCTTTATAAAGTTGGGACAGACAAATGGCACGTTTAATTGAGTACCAAGTTTTTTCTTCATCATTGAAAATTTATGGTCCAAAAGCAATGTGTATGAAGGACGCACCAATGGAAATAATGTGCATTTGTTAGATAAAGATCAAATAGTACATGGGACATCCTTAAGTATCAAAGAGGGGATAACACTGTTAGTGAATTAAGCATGGAAACATTTTATGCCTTTTGAATGTAAAAATGTTTGTTACCAATGGCAGCTTCTAGATTATCTAGACATTTATTACCCAATAGTTTTAAAAAGTTTTTTCAAACTAAAACAGCTTTTTTATCCTAAAGATTTGCTGGTTTATTCCTTCCTCCATAGGTATATTGTGCTTGGAAGCAAGTTACCCTTCCTATAAACTCTTTTAACACTTTTAAACCAATGTAACAGTTTATATTAGAGGAACTTGGTGCATGATAGTACCCAACACAATAGAACAAGATTTAAATGTTGGCCAGTCATTTTTTTTTTAATTTTTATTAAATAACAAAAAAAGAAAAAGTTTAAAAACATTGAACATGGTAAATCAGACTTGACCAACATCTCAGTTCATTCCTATTCATAATTAATTAAACTCTATACAGAAACATCACTCTAAACTCAATCTTAACTTATCTCACCACAGTGACCTCCAAATTTTTTGCCCCACCATTTATAAAATTTATTCCATATTTGGTAAAAATCCATAACATCCTGATTTTTGAGTCTTTTAGTTAACCTATCTAATTCTGCGCAATGCATAATTTTATAAATTAAAATTTCCTCACTAGGTACAGCTGAATTTTTCCAATTCTGAGCGAATACTATTCTTGCCGCTGTAACCACATGAATAAATAAATACATATCCTCTTTACTAACATTTTCTTCAATAATTCCTAACAAAAATGTCTCAGGCTTATATTGAATATTCTGTATGCTCATTTCTATTACCCATTTCCAAACCATACGCCAATATCCCTGTGTTTCCTTACATGACCACACATGAAAAAAAGTGCCCCTTTTTTACATTTCCAACATAAGGCTGAGTATCCTTTATACAGTTTTGGCTAGTCTTGCTGGAGGGAGATGCCATCTATAAATCATCTTATACAAATTTTCTTTATAGGATAATGTAATTTTGTTTCGCATCCATACCTGTTGCCATTGATCCAAATTAATATTATGTCCTAAATCCCATGTCACCATTGTTTCTTTAACTTGTTCTTCAAATAACCTATGTTCCAATAAATGTTTATAAATATTCTTTGTTTTTTTCTTCGGACCAAGCAAAATTTTATCTAGTCCTGTATCTTGTCTATAAATACCCCAATCATGTTTATCTTTCGAATATCTTGCTTGGATCTGGAGATAAGACCACCACTCTATCTCTATTCCTTGTTGTCTTAACTCATGTCTAGATTTTAAAAGACCTTCTTCCGTCAAAGTATCTTTGTATCTAATAACTTTATCTTTCCTAAGCAAGTTGGGGTGTATAACTTTGGCCAGTCATTTCCAATGTGGTACAGCAAGGGATTCAATCTCCATACAGGACAGGAAGAGAATCTGAGTTAATTTTCTCCAGGGCTGACTTCTATTCATGGCTATCAATAAAAATAGCTGGAGTTAAGGAATGCATAGTCTTTGGGCATTTTGACTATCGAGCATAGTATTCTATCTGAGCAGGCTTGTGTTGCATTTATGTATAGCGTGATATATTTATGACACTCTCATATTATTAAACTCTATGTTCTAGGCTTCATACAAACCTTGTAATTAGCTTTTGTAAACCACGATTTATAACCAAATGTATATGCATGACCTCAGCAAGCGGCAGCTCTCGGCTTGCTACCCAGAAGCTAAGTAAGAGCACACTTGGTCTGTGCCTGGGTGATAGAATTCCAGGGTTGTAGACTAGAGAATTGCGAAAAATACCCCAGAAAGCAGCAATGGCAAATCTGCATTGTTGCAAGAAAGCTGCGTGGATGTACTCACGGAATTTATTACCTCAACTTGAAGGAGACTCTGCGTGTTAAAGTTAATCTTGCTTTGGTACCATGCAGTTGGATCGTAAACCTCTAGAGTTTTAACAATGCATATCTCACTGAGCTAAGCTAGTTTTTCAGCTTGGGTGAAAGCTGAACAGCATTACACCTGGATAAATCACTAGCTAGAACATACTATAAACTGCGTAGATGATGAGACACTATTTAGGAGTTTGCAATCCCAGAAATTGGCTGACAACTACCACCAGAATGTGAATTAAATTTCATTTTTTTCTTGAAGACGCCTCATAATATAAAACATCCTGCATTTCAGGAAAACAAAGATAAACAATTGAAAATTTAAATACTAATTTTAATACATCAAGTAATCCTACATCTCTTGATAAAAGACCAGACCTTTAAAACAGCAAACGTGGCTTCCATTCACTTCTTCCATCTCTTTGGCCACACCATAGTTGGGTGACATGATCGAAACATTTCTGAAGGCTGTACAGTACTTCAATGGCCAGGTTTCAAATGAACTATATAGTATCCAGTAAAACTATTTTTTAAAAAGTTTTAAATAAACACAGCTGAAAATAGTTGCTTTCTTTTGTCCTGACTTGAAACTTAATGTTGAACGTTTTTCCCTCAGTACAAAAAAAGGTAATCACAGCTTGAAGCCAGAATGAATGGCCACCATGCCAGATAACAGGTTTTGATAGTCCACCTTCAGAAAGCCTGCTTCCTCAATAATTTCCTTGAATTCCTCCTAAAACAAAGAAAGGGTAAATGTAGCCTTTAGTGCTGAAACTTGGGTTACTGGTGTTCTTAACACATTTTAGGAGCAAGTGCAACTGAGCTTACTCTCCAGTGTATAAGTCTGAAATTTTATTGTTTAGATCAGTGGTTCTCAACCTGTGGGTTGGGACCCCATTTGGGGTCGAACGACCATTTCACGGGGGTCGTCAAACAACGCAGTCCGCCATTTTTTCCCCCTTTTAGCTGTGCTACTCCCTTGTATTCTATTGGCTTTTGAAATCCAATAGAACAGACTCTCTTGAATAGAGTCTAATTCTATTGGCTTTCAAAAGCCAATAGGAATTGTCCAGGCTGTTTCTGCCCTGCTGAGCCCGCCAAAAGCCCCATTCTGCAAACGGTGCTGCACCAGTTGAGTAGTCCTCGACTTACAACCGGTTGAGTAGTCCTCGACTTACGACCGGTTGGGGGTCGCAGCATTAAAAAGGTTGAGAACCACTGGTTTAGATTAATCTGGAGGACTTGTTTTACCTGAGCTGGAAAGCGCCTTATGCTTTCTACAAGATACTGGTAGGATTTCCAATCACCAGCAATAATTTCTCCCAGCACAGGGATGACTTGGAAGCTATAGAGATCATACAGGCTGTGAAAACAAAATTTTAAAAAGTTAACAGAGGTACTGGATGCAACCTATCTAGACTAAACTTTCCACAAGTAGTTTGACTTCAGGGGCAAATTTTCACGTGTTGAAAGTAAACTGAATAGGGGCCAATAGGCTTTTGTTTGCCTTTGAATTTTCTTGGGCAGAGGGATCTAATCTGTTCTAGCAACTTTGTATATAAAGTTTTTCACAGGTGGTACAGGTAGCCCTCGATTCATCACTGTTCATTTAACAATTATTTGAAGTTACGATGGGCCCCCAAAAGCTACTTACAAACCATCCCGCATTTACAGCCATTTGCAACATCCTGCAGTCATGTCACCCTGATTTAGGACTATTTTGCTGAAAACCACCATTTCTGGTATTCAGCAGAAATGCCACATGACAAACAATTGGTTTGCTTAATGATTGCAGCGTTTGCTGAAGAACTGTGGATTCATTTTTAACAATCATGGTGATTCACTTAACAGCCACTGTAAAAACGGTCATAAAATTGATCATGTGATGACCTGCTTTACAACTATCGCACCTTACAAACATAATGGCAGGCTCTATTATGGTCATAAATTGAGGACTACCTGTGCATGCCACGGAGGTGCTTCTACAGCCATAACATTAGGGACTAGGCATAAGTAGCATTCATTTGGTGCCACTGTAACTTCAAACAGGACTGCCTGTATATCCTCTGCAAAGGTGATAACCAGTCATTCTGTCCATCTCTTTCTCCTAGTCCAGGGGTAGGCAACCTTGGCTCTTTTATGACTCATGGACTTCAACTCCCAGAATTCTTGAGCTCATAGCTATGCTCACTCAAGAATTCTGGGAGTTGAAGTCCACGAGTCATAAAAGAGCCAAGGTTGCCTACCCCTGGACTAGTCATTAATAAATTTGCATCATCAAAAATAAAGTGTCAGTGTAAGGCGTCATTCTTCCCTACATAGAATATTACATCCACTTCTGGGGAATGCATTTTGATTAAAGATACTTTTTCAGATCAAACGGTTAAATGATTCAACCTTGGCTAAGAAAATACTGTTACTCTATTTCTGCTTTTTACTGTTTTCCTAAACCAAACCTGGGAGGAGGTAGGAAGGTGTTGTCATCCACTGAAAAGGACTACCTTGGAATGAAATACGTACAGATAATCTCACTTAATTGGGACAGGAATGTCCATCACTAAGGGACATTGTCCTAAGTATCACGGGACCACACTGTTTAGCAACAGAAACTCCAGCACTACCAGTTGCCATTAAGCAAGGGTGTCCTGTGGTTGTCATTTGTCATCTGCCAACTTCCCTACTGACTGAAGGTGGCAAAAGGCAACCTCATGGCCACAGGATAGTGTGATGTCATAATTGTGAGCTGACCACCACTCGGCGAATGAGTAGTTGTCCAATGACCCATGCTGCACTGAATTCAACAAACAGGAAATGTCTCACACCGTCACAGTGCTTATTAACTTAAGGGGGAACGAAAAACATGAAAAAAAGATCCTTTATGTCAACCTGGAAAGCAGGGCATTGTTCACGTGACTGAATTCAAGGCAGAGGAAACGCCCTCCTGGTTTCAAGACTCGATAAGCCTCCTGAAGCGCCTGGAAGCACACGGGAAACAAACCCACAGTAAGAAGGACTATTCTGAGCCTTCACGCGGCTGTATTCTGAGCTCATACGGTGGAGGTTTGGAGCGGAAGAGGTTACATCTAGACCAGAGGTAGGCAACCTTGTCTCTTTTATAACTCGTGGACTTCAACTCCCAGAATTCCTGAGCCTGCCTGGCTCAGCTTGGAAATCTCTCCCTTTCTCCTCAGCATGGCTGACTTAGGAATTCTGGGAGTTGAAGTCCACGAATCATAAAAGAGCCAAGGTTGCCTACCTCTGGCCTAGGCCGCTTTATGACTCATGGACTTCAGCTCCCAGAATTCCTGAGCCAGCATGGCTCAGCATGGAAACCTCTCCCTGTCCCCTCAGCATGGCTGGCTCAGGAATTCTGGGAGTTGAAGTCCATGAGGCATAAAAGAGCCAAGGTTGCCTACCCCTGATCTAGATTAAACAATAGCCTATTAGTTCCTTGAAGTTTTGGAAAACTTTTTTCAAGATTCTCCACTGAAAGGCAGTATAAGAAAAACTGCCAGGTTTGAGCGATGAAGATGATACAAAATGCTGGAGTGGTGTAACTGTTAGGGAAAGAATAAGATGATGATGATGCAGGTGCAAATGGCCACTTAACTGGGTGACTTTGGGCCAATCATTCTTTTTTTTTCCAGCTACCTGACCAGGTTATTGTTACCCAAGGTGGGTGGGTGAGATGGGAATAGGACAGGGGTAGGCCACCTTGGCTCTTTTATGACTCGTGGACTTCAACTCCCAGAATTCCTGACCCAGCCATGCTGAGGGGAAAGGGAGAGGTTTCCAAGCTGAGCCATGCTGGCTGAGGGATTCTGGGAGTTGAAGTCCACCAGTCGTAAAAGAGACAAGGTTGCCTACCCCTGGACTAGGAGATGAAAGACCACCACCTTGAGTGACTGGAGAAAAGGCAAATATAAATCTAGCAAACCCCCCCCCCACCCAATAGTCCCAAGAGGACCACTCACTCACCTGCTCCATATGAGTGACATTACGGATACCAAAAGCAATTGTATAAAAATCAAACTTGTCATCGTCGAAGGGCAGATCTTCAGCATTCCCCACCACCCAGGACAATCCTTCAAAGGAGGAATGGAATTGGTCAGTGCCCATTCAAAGGACCTTCCAAAGAGATCTTTCATTAAAGATCAACAATATTTTATGAAAATAAGAAGTTGAAAGTATAAATGGTAAAGTTAACAGTACAGTATGAAAGTATGCAATTTTTGTTACTATAACAACAGTAATCACTAATCAATGACATGATATATACATGCATTTTTTTAGACTTCTAAGAACAAAACATGGCTTAGGTGGGGGTCTCCGTTTTATCCCCCAAAGAATTTATGAGAGGTTAACTGAGTGTCATTTAGGCAAACTATACATTTTCTCCACTTCTGTCTCATGATTTACAGCTTTATTTCTCAATTAAGCTAGCTAAAATCGGAGAGAGGGGGCACATTTCTCATTCTAATTATTGAAGAAAGGGGCTGGACCCTTCCTATGCTTGATTTACCGTAAATGCCGGCGTATAAGACGACTTCCGCGAGCGCTGAAATCGGCGCCAAAGACGGGGGTCGTCTTATACGCCGGAAATACTGGTAGTTTCCAGCGTATAAGACGACGTTCTAGGAATGCGGCCCGGCTATAAAGACGGGGGTCGTCTTATACGCCGGGTCGCCTAATACGCCGGCATATACGGTACATTATCCTATCACTACCTTACAGGGTATTTTACTCAGAAACCATGGCACACATTACATTCTGGCTGGGTTATACATAAGACCTGCTTGTCAATGATTATAATAGGAAGATGTATTGTTAGCCGTGCTATTTCTGCTCAAGCAAAGTAACAGCGTGTATTGAAAAGTCTGCCTGCAAAAATGTACAAACTATCTGCCATATATGGGTAACGGGAGCCGATGGGGTCTGGCAGCAGCCACAGCCCACCGACCCCTTGGCGCAGCGCAGGTAAGGCCGAGCACGGAGGCCAAGGCAGGCAATCTGGATGCACTGTGCAGCCACCTGGCTTGCGGGAGACTCGTGTGGCAGCACCGGCAGCAGGTGGAGGCATGGGGGGGGGGAGAGGCAGGTGATCTCAGCTTGCCCACGAGCCTCCCGCGAGCCAGATGGCCACACGGCTCGTCCTGATCGCCTGCCTCTCTCCCGCCTCTGCCACCACGCTCGGATTTGTGTTGCGCGGGCTGCAACTGCTGCCAGACACTGCCAGTCCCCGGATGCTCGGCACCTCCTATGCTGGCTGTGGCCCCCAGGCTTATTTTTGGGGTAGGGCATATACTAGGCGCATCCTAAAAAAAATCAGGCTAGGATTTATTTTCTGGGTGGGTCTTATTTTCGGGGAAACGTGGTGGGAGCCAGAGCCTCGAGTTCCTTCGTTTGGTTCCTGAGTGAATTGAGCTGAAAAGTTTCAGAGTCAAAAGGAGAAAAACCCAACAAATCTACATGCTCACTTATGCTTACAAGGGTCGGTCTGTGATGGAATGGACTTATGACTACAATTCAGCCCAACATTTCTGCTGCTAAGTAAGATATCTGTTAGGTAAGTTTTGTGCCACTTTATGACCTTTCTTGCCCCAGTCCTAAGTGAGTGATTGCAATTGTTATGTTAGTGACACAGTTGTTACGTGAATCCGGCTTCCCCACTGACCTGGCTTGTCCGAGGATCACAAAAAGTGATCACAAGATCCTGGGACACTGCAACTGTCACAAATACATGCCAGTTGCCAAGCATCTGAATTTTGATCGTTTAACTATAAGGATGTGGCAACGGTCATAAATGTGAAAAACGGTCACGTCACTTTTTCAATGCCGTTATAACTTCAGTCACTAAATGAACCGTTGTAAGGCAAGAATTGTACGATGAATTCCCAGGCAAGAGGGTTCGTTCTAGAGGTAGAAGCCATTCGGCCCATATATCATGTGAGAGAAAGAGACAGCCCTCCCTAATGGTTCCAGGAACATACAATAGATCAGTGGTTCTCAACCTTTTTAATGCCGCGACCCCCAATCGGTCGTAAGTCGAGGACTACTCAACTGGTCGTAAGTCGAGGACTACTCAACTGGTGCAGCACCGTTGGCAGACTGGGACTTTTGGCGGGCTCAGCAGGGCAGAGACAGCCTGGACAATTCCTATTGGCTTTTGAAAGCCAATAGAATTAGACTCTATTCAAGAGAGTCTATTCTATTGGCTTTCAAGAGCCAATAGAATAAAAGGGAGTAGCACAGCTAAGGAAAAGGGGGGGAAAATGGCGGACTGCGTTGTTTGGCGACCCCCGTGAAATGGTCGTTCGACCCCAAATGGGGTCCCGACCCACAGGTTGAGAACCACTGCGGTAGATGCAGATAGTGGAGTCTTTAGTCTGGCAAAAATTGTCTATAGGTGGAAAACAATATAGAACTCAGCTGGGGAGAATCACCACGAGTCATTTTGGTTCCGAGGCCTCAGACTTCCCTGTCCTACAACGCAAGGAAGTGGGGCCAGACTCCTTGCTTCCCAGGAAATATCGGCCTACCAGAAGGAAACACGTTCATGAACACAACCAGTCTTGATTTAACTCTCACTGTTCAAATAACAACATTACCTTCAGAGTAGCCCAGCTGCTGAGATTTCTGCTGCCCAACCTTCACCATCTCTTTGTTGATGTCACAGATCACTGCGTGGGACCCTCCTAGTGAGCTGTTCTCCTCTTCCTGGTAGAGCTGGGTAATCTCCTGCCATGATAAATCCTGATGGCTTTTCAGCTTCTGCTGGATCCGATGCTCCCGCTGGGAACGAACATAATTGATAAATCGAAAGGCGATGTCACCTGAATTTGTTTTGAAAAGAAGATTCAAAACGTGAGATTCCTTTTTCCTGAAATTAAGTAATAGGAAGGTAGGGGAGGAAGGTGTTGCGGACGGAATCATTCAAACCACTCTTTCCAATAGTTTTAGGGTTGCTGATTGACCCGGGTGTCAAACTCAATCGCATCGCGTGATGTATTGTGATGTTTTTTTGCCTTTGTGGAGCCGGGATGGGCGTAGCCTGCCCGTGACGCACCTGGCCCGCAGGCCGCCAGTTTGACACCCCTGCTGATTGAGAAGTACAGTCTATGCACACACACGTTACAATGTTGTTGTCGCTGTTGTTGTAATTACTACTGAGGTTCATCTCAGTGCTTCACATTCTCAAGCTAAACTAGATTTAGATGGGGTTGCTGAACGTTGCGAAAGACTGGACAACCCTTTGGGATGGAATAAGGGGGCCTGCCCCGGGCAGGGGGTGGGACTAGAAGACCTCTTGAGGTCCCTTCAGGTCCTAGGATTCTATGGCACTTACCTGTCCCGCCAGCAACGTCAATTAATTGGGCTCCTGGATAAGGGTTCATCTGACGCAGCAGGGTGTCCTTCCAAATACGATGGATTCCCAGACTCATCGAATCATTCATTATATCATACTTCTTTGCCACGTTTTCAAACACCTGGTAAACTGAAATTTTCACCTTTTCAAAATAAGGTAAGTTTCGTTGTCTATATCAGGGGTCCCCAACCCCGGGCCATAGGCTGGTACTGGGCTGCGGCTGATGGAAACCGGGCCGTGCAAACGGCAGGTGAGTGCGCGCATCCACTGCTTCCATGGAACCATCCCCTCTCCCCCATTTTGAACTAAGACTTGCAACCATTTGAACTAAGGCTTGCAACCATTTGAACTAAGGCTTGCAACCATTTGAACTCCCCCAAATGAACTAAGGCTTGCAACCAAAGTCAAAAATAACAAAAAAAGCTTCTTTCAACATGTAAAAAACAAGAAAAAAGTGAAGGAAATAATTGGTCCATTAGTGCAGGGCTTTTCAACCTTTTCACCGATTGTTCCACTTTTAGAATATGGCAACATTCGAGTACCACCAGTCACCTAGCGAGGTGTCAAAAACGTGATGACCCCCCCCCCAAAAAAAGGAAAAAAGCGATATACAGGTAGTCCTTGACTTACAACAGTTTGCTTAGTGACTGTTCAAAGTTACAACAGCACTGAAAAAAGTGACTTATGACCATTTTTCACACTTAGGACCGTTGCAGCATCCCAGGGTCATGTGATTTACATTTCGATGCTTGGCAACTGATTCATATTTATGATGATCACATTGTTCCAGGGTCATGTGATCACCTTTTGCAACCTTCTGACAAGCAGTGTTAATGGGGGAAACTAGATTCAGTTAACAACCATGTTATTAATTTAATATCTCTTTCCCTCTTTCTTTCTCTCTCCCTTTCTCTCCCTCTTTCTTTCTCTCTCTCCCTCTCTTTCCCTCTCCCCCTATTTCTCTCTCCCTCTCCCTTTCTTTCTCTCTCCCCCTTTCTCTCTCCCTCTCCCTTTCTTTCTCTCTCCCTCTCTCTCTGTCTCCCTCTTTCTTTCTCTCTCCCTCTTTCTCTCCCTCTCTCCCCCTATTTCTCTCTCCCTCTTCCTTTCTTTCTCTCACTCTCCCTTTCTTTCTCTTCCCCTTTCTCTCCCTCTCCCTCTCCCTTTTTTTCTCTCTCCCTCTTTCTCTCTCCCTCTCCCTTTTTCTCTCCCTCTCTCCCTCCCTTTCTCTCCCTCCCTCTTTCTGTCCCTCCCTCTCTCCCTTTCTTTCTCTCTCCCTCTTTCTCTCCATTTCTTTCTCTCTCTCTCTCTCTCTCTCTTTCTCTCCCTCTGATGATCCTCTTACTTACAAGAAGGAAAGCGAGTAACGGGAGCAGCCATCATTTCCTTACATGAAATGGTTTGGGCTTCCATGCTGCTGCCGCACTACAGTGTACAAGCAGCTGAGCTAATCGCATTGAGAAAAGTGTGCGAAATGGCAAAGAACCAGTCTACCAACATATATACTGGCTCCAGATATGTCTTTGGGATCTGTCATGCGACCGGTTCTCTGTGGAAGCAAAGAGGTTTTTTAACATCAAATGGCCAACCAAATTGCCCACGCTGACCTTATATCTGATCTACTCAAAGCCATCCAGCTACCTTCCTCCCTTGCAGTCATTCACTGTAGAGCCCACCAAAAAGATGACTCCAGCCTCACCAGGGATAACCAATTCGCTGATGCTTCAGCCAAATGGACTGCTACCCAACCTGTACCAGTGTCCACCACTTTCCCAGCAACACACTTGGAAAACAAAATACAATACCTGGACTTACTAGAGCTAGAGGAAACAAAATCTGGGAAGAAAAATGTGAAGCAACCTATCGTGATGGTTTTTTTGGTGGGTCCCTGATGGGAGACCCATAGCCCCTAGGTGTCTGCTACATCTAATATGCCAACAATTACACTCCAAGGGGCACTGCGGGACACAGGCTATGGTGGATGCCATAAGGATGTGGTATGCTCTGGGAGTGTACAGTGAGGATAGCCCAGTGGTTCTCAACCTGTGGGTCGGGACCCCATTTGGGGTCGAACGACCATTTCACGGAGGTCGCCAAACAAGGCTGTCCGCCATTTTTTCCCCCTTTTCTTTGGCCATGCCCCTGGCACCTGGTGATGTATAAGTGGTTGGGGGTCACCACAACATGGAGAACTGTATTATGGGGTCGCGGCATTAGAAAGGTTGAGAACCACTGGGATAGCCAGAGGATGTCAAAGAGGCCAAGCAAACAATTCATCCTCCAAAAAGGCAACCCACCAAGGGAGAAGACTGTGGGTTCAACACCCCTTTGAAAAACTTCAGTTAGACTACATACGGCTCCCAAAAGCTAGTGGCTACCAATATATTTTGGTGTGCAGGGACCAATTAACACATTGAGTGGAAGCATACCCCTGCGGCCACACTACAGCCCTGGAGACAGCCAGACACCTCCCGAAAGACTTGGTGCCCAGGTTGGGGGTCCCAGCTGTCTTAGATATGGACAGAGGGACACATTTTGTGTCACAAGTCGTTACATACGTTCTCCAGGCTCTTGGAATCAGACAGGAGCTACACACCCCGGCACACCTTCGCTCGTTGGGGGGGGTGGGGGGTGGTAGAACACCAGAATAGAGAATTTTATTTTTTTTTACAAATGTTATTTATAATACAGTTAAAAACAAACAAACATTGGATTTAACGTGACATTCAGTATATACATTCTTACCAGATTGTTCCACTTTTTACAATCAATTCTTCATCTCTACATATGCATCTAAGTTTTATATACAATACTAAAATAACATGTATTGCCAGAATAGAGAATTAAAGACCCTCCGGGGGAAGCTGTGCCAGAAGACCACCTCCCCTGGCCCCAAGTATTACCCATATAGCCCTGTTCCATCTTAGACCTCGGCCAAGAGGGGATTTTTTAAGTGTTAAGTTTTTAAGAAGAAACTGGACAGCCATTTGTCCGAAACGGTGTAGGGTTTCCTGCCCGAGCAGGGGGTTGGACTAGATGACCTCCAAGGTCCCTTCCAACTTTACTACTACTATTATTATTATTATTATTTGGGCATCCCGGGAGCAACCAGGGTTGCTCGGCCCCCTCACCTTTCTCTCCTTTCTCCTCCTCCGACACCTCCTGGAACCCGAAGTGCGTGGTTCCGCCGCTGCACAGGCCCCGCGAAAGACCCCACCAAAGACCCCGCGGCCCGCAACTGACCCAGCCACGACCCGAAATAGCCAGCACGGAGGCCGCCATCTTGGCCAGCGACGTGACGTCACGCCCGCTCCCCCCTCCCTTTTCGGCCCAACGGCGACGGGGGGGAAACAGAGCATGCGCGCGTGGTTCACCACCGCCTGTGGGCGGAGGCAGCTGTCAACCAAGACTGTCCGAAGGGCGGGGCGCTGGCGGTCACGTGCGCGTAAGCGAAAGGCCCCGCCTCCTCCCGTTTGCAGTTCCGCAGGAGGTCGTGTGGATGGTAGTCGGGGTTCGGGGGAGACGCTTTTGAGGTTCCTGGCCTGAGCGAACCCAACAGCAAATCTGGTTAGTCAGCATTGCCAAGATGGGTTGCAAACCTCCGGACGACTGTTAGGTGACAGTCCTGACTGTTCCTTTTGCAGGTACTCAATGGTCCTCTGATTATTATTATTATTATTTACAGTTTGGTATTATTTAAACCACGGTCTTTGTTTGTCAAACTTGGCAATTTAAGGATGTTGATCTCCCAGAATTCCCTAAATGGCTGGCTGGAGAATTCTGGGAGTTGAAGCCCTCACATCTTAAAAATTGCCACGTTTCTGGTCTGGTGCGACATGCAGACCATTCCTATTGGCTTAGCATCATGTGGCAATGTGCCTTTTCCAAACAGGGCTACTAATGATGGGGTTTGTGGTCAAATGCTGAATAACCAGTCGGGCAAGCTCAGTTAAACCCATAGCAATTTGTGTGAACTCAACTCCTACGGTTACTTTATGCTTTGGGTGTATTGCAGCAATCTGGGAAATTGGACTAAGGAAATGAACCCACCAGGGAACCAACTAAACAGGGATGTTGGAAAGCAGGAAGCTGGACCAGATGGACTTCAGTTTTGCTCTATGAAGAATGCAGTGCCCAAGAACTTCACCATTGCCTGCTCTTCAGATAACAATCTGTATATGCACCAGGAAATTCTTAACAGCAACTGTCCTGCTAGACAGGTTCATGCCTGTCTTTTTTTCCCCTTCATATTTAAAGAGGTTTTGTTGCAGAGTTATAGCGCGTAATACTAGTTTCTGAAATCACTAGTCCAACAGAAAAAAAAGTGGTTCTGTTCCTCCCTGATTGAGAGGTTCCAAAGAATAGTCATAAGGAAAGAATGATTGAGCCTATGGATGCAACATCCATATGAAACCTTTGGGTGAAGGCATCTGTTAGTTTGGGGTGATGTACTGTATCATTTTAGCCGCATTCTGATCTAGGCCCATAAGAAAGTGTTGCTTCCGGTACTGTATACTGAGGGAAGTTAGTCCAGAGAAGGAAATATTAAAAGGGCAGAAACATATATTTTTCCTCAAAAGGATTTTTTTAAAACCAAACCTGGCCCCAAATCTATCTCTCTGCCCCAAGCAAGAGCTAGCCCCATACAAATGCAGATGTAAAACCACCAGAAAGTTAAAGCCAGAGCACTCAAGAAGACAAAGAGAAAATCTGCATCCCCCACCTAAACTCTAGGAGTCATTAGCCCCATCACCTGGGAAGCAGGATAGGATAATAGGATTAAACCACAGATATCAAGGCCTAGACAAACACTCAGAAATAGCCTCAAGGTTCATGCCACAGGAACAGGAAACTATTCCAAACAAGGCTAGAGGGGATATAAAAACCTACTGCCCATGTGCTCAATTCCTCTTTCCTCTCCTCTGCTCTTTCTTGCAAGGACCATCTTTCTGCTTCTTCAATAAACTGTAACCTTCTTCCCAAAGCAGTCGCCATGTTGCTTATTTATCCCTGGCTTGGATGAACCAGGATGAAGACTTACTTCTGACAATACTAAAGCTGCTGTGCAAGTATTGAGCCCATGTCTGAAGGACTGATTTGGTAGAAGCAATTTTAAGACTAAACCCAAAGAAGGGCAGAGATGCCTTTTGTTCATAAACACATCAGGGAGTTCAAGATCAATAGCTTTAGTGATTGTTCCAGGCAGGGCCCATCCCCTAATTAAGCCGATGTGTGATAGGGATTCTCCTGAATTCCAGCTCCTGTTAAGCAACAGGCAGTGACAATAATTCATGCCTATCATCACTGGGTCTTGACTTCTGCAATATGCTCTATACAGGTTTGGACTTGAAGATACAGGAGGTGAAATGTGCTTCAGCACATACCTTGCAGTAGCTTCACTTATTGTCAGTAGGTTGCAAAGCCCAATTTAAAGTCAGCATGGTCGAATGATTGAGGGTCTTTGCTGCCATGGAATTCTGGTAATTTGCTTTGGGAATTGAAGTCCACTCATCTTAAAGTTGCTAAGGTTGAAAAATACTACCCCAGAGGGTGGGATCAAGAGCAATAGGATGAAGTGCAAGGGAAGCTAAGTTATTAGGAGGAACTTCTTCAGAGAAAGAGCTGTCAATCAGTGGGATAGCTGGCCCTTTGAAGAGGAACATTGCCCTTCATTGGAATCTTCAAGGAATCTGCATGAAATGTTTTATAGCAGGGGTCTTCCAACTTGGCCCTTTTATGACTTGTGGACTTCAACTCCCAGAATTCCTCAGCCAGCATGTCTGGCTGAGGAATTCTGGGAGTTGAAGTCCACAAGTCATAAAAGTTTGAAGACCCCTGTTTTATAGCAAGCTCTGCTCCAAGCAGGGGGGCTGGGACAGATAACAACCCAGCCTTCCTAACTCTTTCATTTTACAAAATGAACCATTTGCGCCAAGACCTGGAGCATGTGCCCTGGCCGGTTTAACCACCATTCATCACGTCAGCAACGGAGTCAGAATTTGAATAAGGCAGGAATGTGGGAAATGGCCCTCCCTGTTAATCCAGCCACCTGACAGTTTCGGCGTGCAAAATGCAGGCCCCAAACCGCCTCTGCCTACGACGCCGCTGGGCGAGCCTCAACCGGAGCCTGTCGGGAGGCGTAGTTTTATTTCGACAGGAGGCCGGCGCGCGGCCCGTCCAGCCGCTGAGGGAGGAACCACCAAGACCAGCATGCTTTGCGGCGAGGCGCGCCCCGCCCCCTCAGAGAGGCTCCATCCGGGCCTTCCCGTCACGGCGGTGGGCGACGCGTCGCCATTACAGGCAGCGGCGGCGGCGGCGGCGCTGAGGCGGACCGGGCGGCTCCCCTTGGCCGCGAACTCCCTTCCTCGCCACTCTCGAAGCGCCGGCGCGGGCCGGGCCTGGCTGCGGAGGCCTCGCGGGCTCCCGCGCTCTCCCGAGGCCGCTCCTCCGTCCGCGGGGCGCAGGCCCGGCCGCGCCCGGCGGCCTCTCCGACTCGGCACCGGAGGCCTGTGGTGGCCGCGCACCGGCCCGTTTCTTCCCTCGCCCGGGCGAAGCAGTGAGGAACATGTCGCCATGAGGGTGGCCGAGACGACTGCGCTGCACCGACCCCGCCGCCGGGCCATGAGCCTGGGCCTCGGCCCCAGCCGCCAGCCGCCCTCGCCCGCCCGCCCGCTCCGTAGCGCCGCCGCCGCCGTCTCCTCGTATTCCGCCCGCCTGCGCCATGGACAAGAACAGCCCCTGCGGCTCCGGCCTCGGGCCCGGTTCCTCCTCCGCGACGGGGGGCAAAGGGCAGCAGCCCCGCTCTAACTCCGCCGGCCCGGCTGGGGGGGAGTCCAAGCCCAAAGGGGGTAAGGCTGCGCGGGGGAGGCGGAGGTGTCGAGAGGCCCCTGCGCCTCGGCTGGGCGGGGAACGCTGGGCCTTGGAGTCCGCCGCTTAGAGGTGCTGAGTTCGAGAAAGTAGCTGAGGGCGAACTACAGGCAGCCGGTGCAGCAGCTTCCTGGGTTGTTGCAACCTGCTGAGCCCACCCCAGCCAGTGCAGGGACGAACATGGTTGTCTAAATCTCGCACACCGAGATATACAACTTCCTGCCGTAAGCCAGTGGGGCTGACCTTTGCTCTTTAAAGCAGTGTTTCTCAACCTTGACCATTTTAAGGCATGTGGACTTCAACTCCCAGAATTCCACAGCCAGCAATGCTGGCTGTGGAATTCTGGGAGTTGAAGTCCACATGCCTTAAAATGGTCAAGGTTGAGAAACACTGCTTTAAAGGGAGGGTGACACACTTTCAGGCAAGGTTGCTGCCCGCCCTGGGTTGGATCTTGGCTTTGTTCTTGGAGCAAGCAACTGGGAGCGCCACAAGTTCTTTTTATGAATCTAAATTTCAGCAGGGTTTTGTAGATGTCATTTGGGAGGATAGGAACTTCTTTCCATAGTGGCCATGGGGAAAGCCTACTTGGGAAAGACTTTTGTAATCAGCTGTTAGCAAACATAAAGTGGAGATAACATAAAGTGTCTTGAAAAGCTTAAGCAATGCACCCATGGAATTTGCCATTTGTTTGTCTGATAAAGAGGGGACTCTGCTGGCTGGATTTCCAAGCTTTATTATATTTGATTTTCTTTGGAATACTTGAGCATTGCAATGAAAAATCCCAATATTTAAACATTCACAGCCTTTAAATGTGAAACTAGACCGATGGCATCTGTAAGTCTTCACCTTGATATCTTTTGTTGGCAGTGTTCATGATCAGTGAGGCATCCTTGTTTCCATTATTCTTGATGCAGTTGTTCTGTGACAAAGTGCCAATTGCCTTAGAAGAAACACTCCTTTGCCCTGGAGGCATCATCATTTTGCAGAGCTAGAAAAACAAGACACCCATGAGTTGAGCTGGTGACTGCCTCCATATACTTTTTTCTTGGGAGTGGTATGGAAGTAGTTTGTCAGTATCTAAGATGTCTTCTAGTCTTCCCTTGTCTAGCGGCTAGCCCACTGTCCCGTAGTGCCCAGGGGACCTTCAGATATCTGAAGACTATTTAAACAAACTCTTCTTTCTTTCCAAGATCTATTACGTGCTGCCACTGCTGAAATAGCAATGCTAGATACATTCCACAATATTTTGAAAATAATACTAGCCCCTATAATTCTCTCTCAAATTTTCACCATGTTTCTAATATCTAGGCACATCAGTGTTTAACTGACATACCAGAGACTGGCCTTACTGTGGAGCAGGCACTATAAAATTAATGTCTCTGTGTGATTATCAGACCATGCCAATCTACAAGCAATTTGGTGTTTCAGTGGAAGTAATTTGAGGTGATTTATGGATAGCTAAGCTTCAAATCAGAGGTCTCATCTGTAATATCATGTCTATTTACTTCCAGGAATGTCTAAGGGGAGGTTTGCCATATTCTGGGGGGGAACTAAAATATTCTGGAATATTTTATTCCCATATTAACAGATTTTGTTCCCATATTAACAGATTTTGATCATCCCTGCTATAAATAGCAAGGATGCTATATTTAGACAGAATCTAGACAGCATCATCCTCATTTTTGTTATCTTAAAAAGCTAAGTCAGTTGTCCCAAAGGTGCTAACTGTGATCTAGAAAACTGAGAATCTATTGACACTAAGCCAGGTTGGTCCTGCTTAATTTTTGGAGACCATAGAAAATGTCAGTGTAGGGCCCTAGAGGAGGAGATTGAATAAACATCCTGGAAGGAAGCAGTGGAAGCCAACAGGTTCATGAAATCATCAATTAAACTACATTCAGGGGTACCCCTTAATTAAACAAATCTGGTAGTTAACATGGAGCTCATTCTTTAACTCCTGTTTTCTTCATGGGCAGGAATATGGTTTTTTAAAATATCTGAATATTTTACCCTGGATTCCGTGGTGAAAGTTTGTGAGCCCTTGAGAAATGTCCAGTATTGTGACCTACAGTGTAATGTGAGTGTCATCTATGTTGTTTTAATAGAGATTCTGGCTAGAAAAGACAACACAGAGAAGTTGCCTGTGTCATGCACTGAGCCAACATTTCAGCAATCTCACTGGAAAAAGTATGTGACGTTTTAGATGTGGTAACAGTGGTGCCTCTTTCAGCACCAGAGACTTCAACCAAATGTTTTCCTGTATATACCTGTTGATCATTGGACAGCATGTCCCATGTTCACCTGGCGTTCACCTGTAGAATTTGCTGGTGCAATAGAGAATCCATTGTTCTATCAATGATTGAGCTGTCCAGATCCAAACATGCTTCACATCTGAAATGTGGCGGAACAGTGTTTTGTGTTTACCAAGCCTAAGCTTTCTCATTATTATCTGAAAGAACCACTTTTATCTCATTTGTCCTTTGAATATTGTTGCTTTCTGTATCATCTAGGACAGTGGTTCTCAACCTGTGGGTCGGGACCCCATTTGGGGTTGAACGACCATTTCACGGGGGTCGCCAAACAATGCAGTCCACCATTTTTTTCCCCCTTTTCCTTAGCTGTGCTAATCCCGTTTATTCTGTTGGCTTTTGAAAGCCAATAGAATAGACTCTCTTGAATAGAGTCTAATTCTATTGGCTTTCCAAAGCCAATAGGAATTGTCCAGGCTGTCTCTGCCCTGTTGAGCCTGCCAAAAGTCCCATTCTGCAAACGGTGCTGCACCAGTTGAGTAGTCCTCGACTTACGACCGGTTGGGGGTCGCGGCATTAAAAAGGTTGAGAACCACTGATCTAGGTGATTTTTGGCAAACTTGAGATGGGTAGTCCAAAGGTGCTTTTTCCAAAAGGCAATTGAACTTTCTTGTTTGTTTTTTTCTTTGAAAACATTTCGTTTCTCATCCAAGAAGCTTCATCAGTTTTGATGGGCAGCAGTGTGTATTTTGCAGACTGTGATATTTCCTTGGTATTCTCAGGTACATGTTGCTCTGATTCAGTATTTTCCTTATGGCAGACTCATACAGATTGACATCAGGCAACACAAAAATACCTGCAGTTTCTTTGCCATTATTCTTTGAAACCTCCTGGAGTGTTAATATGCTTTGTATTTGGTAATTTATTATTGGACAAATAATAATGTTGCATTTTCTTCATTTGTATCCTGTCTACTTGATGGTGGAGGTCAACGTCTTTGACAATGATTATGTAAGTTCTTCTGCCTCTTGAAGTCTTTTTTTCTGAGTTATTCAGAAAGTTCTTTTGACTGGAGTGGTATTCATTTCCACAGAGAAGATTCATGAAGGCAGGCTCAAGTGGTTTGTTTTTTAATGAAGAATGCCACTTAAACTCATACCTGAGTGTCATCTCGTTGCTTTGAACATCCGACTCAACTGCCTGGTGTAAGAAAGCCTCCATTGATGGAGCACCCACAACTTCTGGAGGCAAGCTTCTTCACTGGTTAATTGTTCTCACTATTAGGAAATTTCTCCTTAATTCCAGGTTGCTTCTCTCCTAGATTAGTTTCCATCCACTGATTCTTGTCTTGCCTTCTGGTGCTTTGGAGAATAGGTTGACCCCCTCTTTGTGGCAGCCCCTCAAATACTGAAACACTGCTATCATGTAATCCCTACTCTTTCTTTTCACTAAACTAGACAAATGCAGTTTCTGCAACCGTTCTTCAGCTCCCTAATCATCATTGTTGCTTTTTTTCTGCACTGTTTCCAAAGTCTCTACATCTTTTTTGATAATATGGTGACCAAAACTGGATGCCATATTCTAAGTGTAGTCTTACTAAGGCTTTATAAAGGGGTACTAATAGTTCATGTAATCTTGATTCTATCCCTCTAATCCAGTGTTTCTCAACCTTGACAATTTTAAGGCATGTGGACTTCAACTCCCAGAATTCCACAGCCAGCAATGCTGGCTGTGGAATTCTGGGAGTTGAAGTCCACATGCCTTAAAATTGTCAAGGTTGAGAAACACTGCTCTAATCAATGCAGCCTAGGACTGTGTTGGCTTTTTTTTGGCCACTGCTACAGACTGCCAGCTCATTTTTAAGTGATTGTCCACTTGGATTCCAAGATCCCTTTCATAGTTACTGCTATAGAGCCAGGCTTCACCTAATCTGTACATAATCAACATTTCCTTTTTCTTGCTTAAGTGCAAAACCTTACTTTTCTCTCTATTTAATTTCATTTTATTACATAGGGGCCAATATTCTTTAGAAATCCATCTGGATCTTCATCCTATCTTCTGCGGGGTTGGGTATCTCTGCCAACTAACAACTAACTGGGCAGCTATCAGGACTAAATGGACTGCAGTTCATCCAAATGGGACTTTATTCATCCTGATCCAAAAGCTTGGAAAACATCTAAAAGCCTGCAGGATTGGGGTCAATTGTATCTGGAGAGAAGATCACTCCAAAAGGAAGAGGCCACCACCAAGAAGATATGAAAGAATATACTAATTATGTATAGCTTTACTTGACTCCCAGTCTCCCGGTTTCTTGCTTGTTGCTTTACCCACTGCACCAGACCGACCTATAGAATATCTTTACTAACAGCTCTTAGATGAGGTTTTGATGACATTGCAGGTCACAACAATGCAGAATGTTTCTGTAGAGTCCACAAGCTTTCCATCGCTACAAGCTTTCATATTGACCAACTATTTTCAACTAATTTTTCAGTGTAGCAACTGGAGGCTCTCTGTAGATAAAAGGTTCATGTTTAGAAAATTCTGCTTTTAGCTTACGACAGCTGTGTGTGCAGACATTGATTATGTTCTAATCTGAACAGGCCATAGTGCAAATAGCTGGGGGTGCTGATACTACCCATCACATTCTGCAAAGCCTGGGGTAGCAGTCCTGCAGCAACAGAATTGCCTAGCAGTTATCAAATGATTTATTTTCAAGTACAGTTCTTAAAAGTATATATGACAAATGTTTTAGAAAAAAGGCCTTTTTTTTTTAATTTTCACTTTAATATTTAAATATTTTCCCTTTATTCAGTATCATGCTTGATCAATGTGTTTCACTGAATCGGAGTGTTTTTCCCTCTATTTTCCCCCAACCAATCATACAATTTGTTCCAGATTTCGTAGTAATCTGTTTCATTCTTATCCTTAAGTTCTAACATCAACCTATCCATTTCAGCACAGGATAAAATCTTATTCATTACCTCTTCTTCTGAGGGTGTCTCACTGTCTTTCCATCTCTGTGCAAAGACTAATCTTGCTGCTGTTAGCATGTGTAATAATAGGTATAAGGATCCTTTATTGTATCTATCTTTAGTGATACCCAGCAAAAAGAGTTCTGGTTTTAGCTCAACGTTCTGTATTAGTATTTCTTTTAATCACTGTTTTATTAAATGCCAAAAATTTTGTGCTTTTGAACATTCCCACCACATATGGGAATAGGTCCCTAGTGATTCTTTACATTTCCAACATTTTGGTGAGGTCCTTTTGTCCATTTTGGCTAATGTCACAGGAGGAAGGTGCCACCTATAAAACATCTTGTATAAATTTTCTTTGGACGCAGTAGCTAGTGTGAGCTTCCTATTCCTTTCCCATAAATCCTGCCAATTATCTAAGTCAGTGTTTCCCAAACTTGACAATTTTAAGGCATGTGGACTTCAACTCCCAGAATTCCACAGCCAGCAACGCTGGCTGTGGAATTCTGGGAGTTGAAGTCCACATGCCTTAAAATTGTCAAGTTTGGGAAACACTGATCTAAGTCAATACCATAACTGAAATTTTTACTCCAAAATTAACATTGTACCTTTTACTTGTTCTTCCAAAGGCCTTTCTATACAAGAGCCAAGTTGCAAAAATTCAGTATAGTACAGTACTTCCTAAGTTCTGATAATTTCCAGTCAATAATTAGCTCTGTTAAAGGGAGAAGTTCCTTGAACGTTCGTAAAGTTTATAAGTCGGAAGCTACAAATACCTGTTCTCCTTTTGTGGTAGTATCTGTCATTTGTATATATAATCTTTTCACACATGTAGGAAATCTGTTTCCAACTGAAGGAATTTATATGACAACGTTTTAAATTTTACATTTTACGAGATTTAAGGTTGCTAATGCAGCTAGTCCTCGACATTCACAGTCCATTTAGTGACTGTGGAAAGTTACAGCATGACTGAAAAAAAGTGAATTATGACCGTTTTCCATACTTACGACCATTGCAGCATCCCCATGATCATGTGATCAGAATTTGGATGCTTGGCCATTAGTTCACATATTTACGACAGTCGCAGTGTTCCGGGGTCAGATTGACTTAAGTTAGTAACATGGTCATTAATAACTGCAGTGATTCACTTAGCAACTGTGGCAAGAAAGTTTGTAAAATGGGGCAAAATACACGTCACTGTTTCACTTAGCAACAGAAATTTTGGGCTCAGTTGTGGTCGTAAGTTGAGGATTACCTGTACTCCCAAGTTTCCTATCCTAGTAGCAGTTTTTTCTTGATTTACTGTTCTAATTATAACAGAACGTACGATAATGGAAATGTATTGCCTGCATTGGATAGTAATCACTGTTAACTTTGGATTGCATGCAGAGTATTATTTTATTGAAAACAGTTTGGATGTGTGCTAAACTGAATTTTGCTGGAGGGAAGAGCTTGAGTGTACAAACTCAAATGTAAAATACTTTCTTTGTCAGAAGTATTTGAAAAAAAAAATGATTATAGGTAAAGCATTTGTGTTTATTTGTCTATTTCCCTTGGGGTGATTCAAAGAAATAGAATAATGAAATTAGGCAGCTGAGCAAGTAATCATGTACCCAATGTTAATAAAATTTTGTTAGTGTGGAAAGGCGCTATCAATCCTTCTGATTTTGGGCCACCATAGACTAACACGGCTTTCTTCTTAAGTGATTCTGAGGATCAGTAGTAATAAAGAGTAATCCTTTCCTGTTATAAGTAAACATAGAAACATTTCTATTAGTTCAATATTTGTTTATGCCAGCACAAGGGTCAGAAAAATATAGTTTTAAGATCAAAATACCTTCAGTTAGCAAGATCTTTAAATAAAGATGTTTGATTTCACCCGCAAGTCATGAGAGTTCCATGCGGTAGGGTTCTCTAGATAAGCTTTTGCTTGTGTTACCGGTCTGGCTGTCACTTTGGTATGATATAAGTCAGTGGTTCTCAGCCTTTTTAATGCCGCGACCCCCCCCAACCGGTCGTAAGTCGAGGACTACTCAACCGGTCGTAAGTCGAGGACTACTCAACTGGTGCAGCACCGTTTGCAGAATGGGACTTTTGGTGGGCTCAGAAGGGCAGAGACAGCCTGGACAATTCCTATTGGTTTTTGAAAGCCAATAGAATTAAACTCTATTCAAGAGAGTCTATTCTATTGGCTTTCAAAAGCCAATAGAATAAAAGGGAGTAGCACAGCTAAGGAAAAGGGGGGGGAAATGGCGGACTGCATTGTTTGGCGACCCCTGTGAAATGGTCGTTCGACCCCAAATGGGGTCCCGACCCACAGGTTGAGAACCGCTGATATAAGTGCTCTGCTAGGAATTGCTTTTGACCTAATGCTGAACATGATTCCTTTAATGTTTATTTTAGAAGGGAAAAATGCAAGTGGATCCAGACAGCGTTATAATCGTAAGAGAGAAACTTCATATCCCAAAAATGAAACTTTCCCCAGCCAGTCCCGTCGCTCCTTTCCACAGAAAAGCAAAACTTTTAACAAGATGCCCCCTCAGAGGGGGGAACAGAACAGCGGTGGCAAATCTTTTAGCCTTTCTTCTAATGGTGGAAGACGAGATGAGGTGAGATTTGCCCTTACCGGGACAATTGACATGCCTTCGTTAAGCAAATATTCTGTCTTCTCTCTCTTTCCTGACAAAATAGAAACTTCTATCTTTCTTCTCTCATTAAAAAATGTGAAATACAGATTAAGAATAAGAATCTAATTGAACTGTATGTTCTTACCTTCACGCTTGTGGGGGGAAAAAAATCAAACAATAATGCCCTATCATGGAAAAATAATGGCCAAATTACTTCTCATAATAGCAAGAGGTTACTACAGATTCTTTGCTTCCAAATGTGTACAGAAAGGATTGTTGGCATTAGCATGTACATTTTTTTCATAGTTCTATAAACATGGCAGGTCTGGGCATTTGTGCGTCACATCTGGTCCTTTGGCTGTCCCTGTCCAGCCTCTGGCAGGAAGTGCAAGAAAGATAAATGTTCAGCATTTCCCAAGTATACAAACTGTCGATGTTTAAGGCTTTGCTTTATGTCTAGGCTAGCTGACATTCAAGGATGATGGAGGCTCATTATCAAAACATGCACCTCATTGAAGTGCTACCTCAAATGTTTAATTCTTGAAAGAACCAATTAAAACTTGAGGGTTGACTGTTGATGTTGCTTCCATTTGCATATTTTAAAATATTACAGTGACTAGCAAATCCTTCTTAACCTGTACTTTGAGGGATGTATAAGCAGTTTTCCAGATCGTGATCTTTGAAAGCAAAGTATATTTAAAAAGATTTTTGATGATCATATAGAAAAAAATGTCAGAGGAAAACCAAGTGTTGTTTTGCACGTGAATCATCTGCTGCCTGATGTAAAGAGCTGAGAAAAAAAGCTCTTGGTTTATAAGGAGAATATAGCTTCCTTTGGTTTGAGCTCTGTTCCTAGATGGGACAGCCATGCGATATTTTTAGCAAAAGTAACGTCGTTTGCTTTTCCCGTCCTCCCAAGAGATTGTTCCAAAGTTCTGGCCTAACATTCATCTTCCTGATAAAAATAATGGTCTTTATATGGCATAATTTTTTTTTTTTTAATTGCAACTCTGGCAAACTAATTTATCTGTTTTCTCAGGTAGCAGAAACTCAGCGGGCAGAGTTTAGCCCTGCCCAATTCTCTGGCCCCAAGAAGATTAACCTGAACCATTTGTTGAATTTTACATTTGAACCTCGTGGCCACACTAGCCATTTTGACGGGAGCAGCCATGGCACTTGGGGAAAAAGAAACAGATGGGAAAACAAACCTTTCAACAAGGAACTTTTTCTTCAGGCCAAGTGAGTGTGAGCTCTGTCTGGATCATCAGTGTCTGAGGGAGAATTTACTCTGTCCTGTTCCCATCTGTTGCTTTCAGCAGCTGTTTTATAGTTTTTATTTTCCATTTATATTTTACATTTGAAGCTACCGTACTTTCCTGCGTATAAGACAACTTTTGAAATCGGTGCCGAAGTCGGGGGTCGTCTTATACGCCGAGTCGTCTTATATGCCGGAAATTACGGTAGTTTCCGGCGTATAAGACGACTTTCTAGGCATGTGACTTGGCGCCAAAGACGGGGGTCGTCTTATACGTCGGGTCGCCTTATATGGCGGAATATACGGTATTTTGATAATTTGACTCTCATTGCCCTGTTGTATTTGAAATGCATTAAAATTGCTGTTTGCATTTGAATTTATTCAAAACAAAAGAAAAGAAAAGTATCAGTGATATGACTATAAAAGATCAGTTTTATACAACATAGCTTTATGAAATTGTTAATGCCAAGATCTAACATGCATTGTTTTGTGAATTGAGAGCATTCCTTGAAAGGTTAAAAAGCAGATACTTTCCGATTTTCTCTCGATATATTTGATTTCTGAGAGCGCTATATGTCGTTGGATTACAGTTAGACTAATGGAAAAGATAAAGTAATTTTGTTTTAAGATTGTTGTAGATAATTCAGCAGTTACTTAATCTGAATATCTGTCTGCCTGGATCATTTCTATATAATCAGTTTCAGGTGGTTGTTATTACGGGTTTTTAGTTTTAAATCCCTCGTATTCTTTGCAGCTGCCAGTTTGTGGTGCGTGATGATCAGGACTACACGGTTCACTTCACTGACCCAGATACCTTGGTCAACTGGGATTTTGTGCAACAAGTGGTTAGTATTCTTCGTCCTCTCTCTCTCTCTCAGACAATAAATACTGTGGTCAGCCCGGGAATCGGGATGGTGGGAGAGATTCAGGAAGGAAAAGGAAGTTCTCCACACAGCATATTAGGTAACTTGTGAATTCAAAACTACAGTTCCCCAAAAGAAGCCAGACAGGAAATTACCCCCCTCATTTTGCTAGCTGATAAAGATGCCATATGAAAACGCCCTATATATGTGTGTGAGTGTGTATACATAAACGTATATCCCAAAGGCTTGCCCAGTGTCAAACTGACAAGCTTTATTTCCCGCTTTAAAGGAGTCAAATTGCACTCTGACCCCTTCATTAGTTAAACCAGGGGTAGTCAACCTTGGCTCTTTTATGACTGGTGGACTTCAACTCCCAGAATTCCTGAGCCAGCACAGCTGGCTCAGGAATTCTGGGAGTTGAAGTCCACCAGTCATAAAAGAGCCAAGGTTGACTACCCCTGAGTTAAACACTTATGTTATTGATACAGGCTTCTGCCAAACATGATTCTCCCCTGGGCTCACGAACCAACTTCCATCCTTCTGTATGCTGATAATGCAGTCACCCATGTCCAAGGGAACACCGTGACAAAGCCTACATGCATTGTTGTCATACTGTCAAGACAACAAGCTCGAAATCAGCCATTCCAAACTCTGGGTGACTGTATTCACAAAGCATCACAATACACAGGTTCTATAAGTGGACAATCAGGGCTAACCAAATTAAGCAGGTCAGGTTTTTTAAATATCTAGGTATTTAATTCTAGTTTTCCACCACTTGCAAACAGAAAAGTTAGGACATCTCAGCTGGAGTACAAAAGTCCAATACAGCTATAATTCCAGCTGTGATGGTAGTCATTCTCCTGGCAGCAATTAAGCAGTTTAAAGCCAATGGTAAGTCTTCTGTGCATAGAAGGACACCTCTGCAGTAGAATCAATTCAGTCACCATTTCTGAGGCCTGTAGTGTTTCCTCCCCCACCTGGTGGCTTAACTTGGTTGTGCCCACCAGATAAGTTCTGTCAACTAAATATTGATTGAAATGGCATCTGAGGACAAAGCCCAGCTCACCCTGGCTGATCTGTTCAGCTTCTCTTGGAAGAACAAATTCCTGTCAGTTTGGCTCAGTGCAGACTCTCAGTCCACACTTATTTATGCCGAGTTTAGAAAAAGTTGTGATTGATGTTAAACAGGGAGTAATTGAACTATTTACAAAACGATAGGGCTAAAATATTATTATTTCACTGCTGGAGGCCCTTATCACTCAGATTTGCAGACAACATCAAACTGAGGGGAATTGCCAACACTTTGGAAGATAGACTCAAGATTCAAAAGGATCTTGACAGACTTCAGCACTGGGGCCCATCCAACAAGAAAAGTTAAAGTCCCGCACTTAGGCAAGAAAAAACCAAATGCACAGGTATAGAATAAGCAGCCCCTTGCTCAACAAGTAACTGTGAGAGAGATCTGGGTGTCCTAGTGAATCATCACTTAAGTATGAGTCAGCAAAGTGCTGCAGCTGCCAAAAAACCAATGCAGTCCTAGACTACATCAACAGTGGGATAGCATCAAACTCACGAGAAATGATAGTACCACTCTATACTGCACTAGTGAGGCCACACTTGGAATACTATGTCCAGTTCTAGTCAACATGAGACAAAAAAAGATGCCGAGACCCTAGAAAGAGTGCAGAGAAGAGCAACAAAGATGATTAGGGGACTGGAAGCTAAACCATATGATGAATAGTTAAGGGAATTAGGTATGTTTAGCCTAAGGAAAAGAAGGATTAGGAATAACATGATAGCAATCTTCTAATACTTGAAGGGCTGTCAAAGAGATGAGGGGGGCAGGACAAGGAGCAATGGGCGGAAACTCATTAGAGAGATCCAACATGGAACTAAGGAGAAACTTCCTAATAGTGAGAAGAATTAAACGGTGGAGCAGCTTGCCTTCTGGAGTTGTGGGCGTTCCATTGCTAGAGGTTTTCAAGAAAAGATTGGACAGCTAGGATAAGGATTCCAGCCAGGGGGTGGGCAGGGTGTTGTACTAGAAGACATCTAAGGTCCCAGCTCTATGGTTCTATGTTTCTGCCCCATGTAAATTGGTCATTTCTTATTTCTGAACTAACCAATCACTTGCTTAAATTTTATTGGCCTAAAATCATCGGGCAGCAAACTCTTGTGACCAGAGTCAAGAAATGGTATCCACATGTTGTTAACATATTCTACAGTGGAATCGGGTTTAGTAAAACCCTGCTCTCTGCTTTATGCCATGTAGAACTAGAATGGAAATTGCAGGGGAGCAAATTTAAATTTTTCAGTATGGTACAAGCGAGTTGATAGTGGAAGCAAAAGTCTCAGATTGCAGAGCTGCTTTTCTCTAGAAAACATCCTGTAAAATCTGGACAGTCACTTCTCAGGGATGTTGTTCTTATGTCCTCCATAGAAATTCCTAAATTGTGCAGGTGCTGGGATGACAGTCCTCAATGCTCTTGAGAGAAGCATGTTTTTTTAAATAACTATAAATCAGATGGCCACCTGCTTTATTGTGTTGGTGGCTGGGGTTTTGAATAGTCAGCTCCCCACACTGTGTTTAATATATTCCGCTCTTTAAAGAAAAATACCTTTTGAGAGTTTAATTTTATCAATGGGATTCTGTTGCACATTTCTAGCGGATTTACAGCCATGAAGTGCCCTCCTGCCCAATATGCTTATACCCACCCACTGCTGCCAAGATCACTCGCTGCGGGCACATCTTCTGCTGGGCCTGTATCCTGCACTATCTCTCCCTGAGTGAGAAGACCTGGAGCAAGTGCCCCATCTGTTACGGCTCCATTCACAAGAAGGACCTCAAAAGGTACAGAGGTTCTGTAAGGAACCACTTCAATCCCACATCTTAAGAAAGCAGAACTCTTGCAGACGGTTTCCTCCAACAGGAACTTTTATTAAGAGTAGTTGATAGCAGGCATAATAGACAGGATCTGAGGAATTCCCTTACAGATCAGTACTTTAAAGTGTCCCCAAGCAAACCACACCCCACAGTTCATCCGGCCGGGTTCAAAACCGGCCAATCCCCAGGTGTTAAGTCCATCGTGAGAAAGGAGAGATAACATCAGTCCGGCTCTGGGTGCAGCTGCAATGTTCAAGTGGCTCTTCGCACCTTCTTTTGAGAAACTTGGAGAGATAAGCCAGGCTCCGGAGGTTGTATTTCTTTCTCTCCCCCCCCCCCCTTTTCGTAGCTGACAGGTTAGGGAGAAGAAAGTTCAGAGAGAGATACACTGCAGGAAGCAGATTGTTACATTGTAGTGGGGCAGCAGAAAAGCAAGAAAAAGGTTACATTGTAGCAAATAGAGGAAAGAAAAGCAATAACCCCGCAAGCACACACACCCTCCCCTTTGGGATTATGGCAGAACCCAGGGAAAGGTGAGATTTGTCTTTAGGTCATAGGGGATAGGTAGAAATGAAATAGGAATGGGTTCTGACAGGTTCCCTGAGGGAGGTGATCTTTTCCTCCTGCACTAAGTCAGTTGTCATGGACCGCTTCTCTCTTTTTTTTTGCAGTGTTGTGGCACTAGAAACCCGTCAGTATGCAATTGGTGATACAATTACAATGCACCTCATGCAGCGGAAGAAAGGGGCCTTGATAGCACTGCCAAAGTCAGCGCTCGCTCACGTGGAGCAGCCTGTTCACCTGGGGGGTAAGTGTTGAGGGTTCAGTGGTCTTGTGAATTGGGATTGCTTTGATTTCTGCAAACCGTGAGCCGTGTGCAGAGTGAAGCCCAATGGCTTTCAGAGTTATGTCATGTGAACCTTATTGAAAGGGACAGCTCTTAATTCCCTTAAGAACTGATGCTCTGCAGTGGTTCAGTCTATACATTACTGAAAAATCAACCTCTGCTCTCTGAAGCAGTGGTTCTCAACCTGTGGGTCGGGACCCCATTTGGGGTCGAACGACCATTTCACGGGGGTCGCCAAACAACGCAGTCCGCCATTTTTTTCCCTTTTCCTTAGCTGTGCTACTCCCTTTTATTCTATTGGCTTTTGAAAGCCAATAGAATAGACTCTCTTGAATAGAGTCTAATTCTATTGGCTTTCAAAAGCCAATAGGAATTGTCCAGGCTGTCTCTGCCCTGCTGAGCCCGCCAAAAGTCCCATTCTGCAAACGGTGCTGCACCAGTTGAGTAGTCCTCGACTTACGACCGGTTGAGTAGTCCTCGACTTACGACCGGTTGGGGGTCGCGGCATTAAAAAGATTGAGAACCACTGCTCTAAAGGCACCACACAGACTCTGATTAGACAGCCTGAAGCAACTAGAAGTTATTTCTAATCATGCAGATTGTCTTCCTCATTATAAATCTTAATTATTTTGTCATTGAAGACAAAAGCTTGAATGGAACTCTTAAAGAAGCTGCTTTAAGAATCTGAAGTGCATTGCGGGGGGGGGGGGTTGGTGTGCAATACATCCAAATGTGATGGTAACCTTTGTTGCGTTGTTTCTTCCTCCAGATAAGCCACACAGCCAGTATTCAAAGCTGCTTCTGGCCTCGGAGGGTCAGGTCCTTCAGCAAGTGATCCTGGAAGAAAAGATGGCCCTTCTTCATCAATATCAGGAGGAAAAGCATACCCCTGAAGCATGTTTCATTGAAGCAGCCCTGCAGGAACTGAAGGTGGAGAACCCTAACACTTTGGAGATAATGTGTGGAGTGGGATGGACATCTGTGTGATGTACTGGCTTGCAGAATGGCAGCCATTGGCTTGGAACACTTTTCTTGTACAGGCCTCTGTTTTAATGGATGGGCTAATGTGGTCTGTTTTTTTTTTTTTTTTTTTTTAGAATAGCCTGTTTGTTTCCAGTTTACACCGTGTGGTTTATTTTACAAGGATTGGGATGATTTGAGATAAACCCACCTTTAGTTCTTTGCTGGGTCAGGACACGTACTGGGTTACTCCAATCTGCCCCACAATATGATGAGTCTAAAAATAAAAATTAGAAATGACCCCATATGATTTTAACTATTAAAAAGATGGAATATATAGGCGATAAAGATGAATAAAAGCATCATCCTTGATAGGGTGTATTATCACTCACCCACCTAAGCTGCTGTGAACGAAGCATTCCAGAAGGCATTTGCAGATCTTTGAAATAAGCACATGGGGGACTTTAATTACAGTTAGCATATTGGGAAACAACTGCCAGGAGTGAGTCTGCCAAGAATTTCCCGACTTTCCTCTCTGGCAACTTTCGCCTTCAGCGGGGAGAGGACCCGCTAAACCAGTGGTTCTCAACCTGTGGGTTGGGACCCCATTTGGGGGTCGAATGACCATTTCATGGGGGTCACCAAACAAGGCTGTCTGCCATTTTTTCCCCCTTTTCTTTGGCCACATCCCTGGCACCCGGTGATGAATAAGTGGTTGGGGGCCACCACAACATGGGGAACTGTATTATGGGGTCGCGGCATTAGAAAGGTTGAGAACCACTGCGCTAAACGAAACAGAAATGTTAATCCAGAAAGTGGAAGAAGCAGCTATGCTGAAAATGCTGTGTAATGCTGGATTTATGGAAACCCATCAAGGAGAGAAGCAACCTGGAACTAAGGAGAAACTTCCTGACAGTGAGAACAATTAACTAGTGGAACAACCTGCCTCCAGAAGCGGTGAATGCGCCAACACTGGAAGTTTTTAAGAAGAGGCTGGACAGCCATTTGTCTGAAATAGTGTAGGGTTTCCTGCCTGAGCAGGGGGTAGGACTAGATGACCTCCAAGGTCCCTTCCAACATCATCATCATCATCATCATTATTATTATTATTATTATTATTATTATTATTATTATTACATTGCAAGACCACATTCCTAACCCAGTAATAGAAGAAATAAGTAGGTTTATATTATACGGTTCTAAGAGTCACATAACTGGTTTTCCTTCTAGGATCGTGAAGGCAACTTGATGTGTGACAGTGATGTTCCTGGTGTCGCTGCAGCTGTGGAAAAATTAGTCGTGACAGAAGCATCAAAGAAAGAAACTGCAGCAGTACCTCAGGAGAAAAAGGTGAGTACGTGCATAGTCTTAGATCACGCTTCATCTGCCTTCAGAGGAGGCCAGGGGGATGGGAAGAGGACTTCCTAGAACAGTGTTTTGGCATTGCTGGCTGTGGAATTCTGGGAGTTGAAGTCCACATGCCTTAAAATTGTCAAGGTTGAGAAACACTGTCCTAGAATGAATTGGGACCAGACCAGCTTTCTCTGGCCTTGCACTTGAGGGTAACAGCTCTTGGGCGTTCCACCCACTTCTGGATGCTGCATTTTGAAAGATTACTGATTATCAGCATGGAGGTATTCACAGTGAAGAAGTTCACATCTAGAGCATGTCTGGAAAAGATCAACCAAGGCCTAATGGGCCTGGCCAACGGAGGGAAATTCTGTCAGCTGCAGTTCATCTTGAGATGGGGGCCAGGTCCGTGATCCCTAAATTAGATGCTTTCCAGGGCGACCACTGTAAATATCTGCCTCTTCCATTTCGTGCCAGACATTGGAGAGTTCCCTGCTCACAAAGAAGCTGTCATGGTTCCGAAAGAAGAAGCTTTTCAAAGACCTTTGAGGCATTGTTTACCTTAAAGAATCTTTTTAATTGCTACGTAGCTTCGGCAGGTACATAGTGAAGCCAAAATCTGAATTCTCCTCCCCCAACGCACCTGTAACAAAGCATAACATATGAGCCGAGGTGGCGCAGCAGTTAGAGTGCAGTACTGCAGGCCACTTTAGCTGACTGTGTTCAGCAGGTCAGCGGTTCAAATCTCACCGGCTCAAGGTTGACTCACCTTCCATCCTTCCGGGGTAGGTAAATGAGGACCCAGATTGTTGGGGGCAATGTAAATATATATATATATATACATTGCTTACTGGTGTACACCGCTTAGAGAGTGCTCGCACTTAAAGCGGTATATAAGTCTCATTCATAAATAAATAAATAAATAAATAAACTCACTCCTTCATTTAACAGTCATCAGTCACGTTCTCCAATTAGTTTGAAGTGGGAACTTTCTCTCCCGTGTTATCTGCTCTCATTACAACTAACCTTGAAAATACCCTACTGAGATATTATTATGGCTAACTAATCTGCAAGTACATTCTTCCCCCCCCCCCTCCCTTCCATCAACTATCTAATTTTAACTCTAAAAGTAATACACAGGTTAAATAGAAAATGTCTGCATCTTCATATTTTGTCAAGCAAGAACATCCGATGTTAGCAGCATTGACAGAAGCGGGTTTTTTAAAAACATGGGTGGGTGATCTTTTCTGCTGTTTTGGTAAGCTCTGAGCAGCCCAATGAGCTGGAAGCTGGAGGAAGGATCTCCAGTATTTATTTATTTATGAGACTTATATACCGCTTTAAGTGCGAGCACTAAGCGGTGTACCCCAGTAAGCAGTGTGTGTGTGTGTGTGTGTGTGTGTATTGCTCACAGAAATGGGGGGGATTTAACTTAAATATTGACCTAGGAGGGAAGATGAGCATGGAGGACACCATAATGGAGGAGGATGATTCAAACGGAGATATGAACACAAGTGCTCGAGAGAATGATGGAAGAAATCTTTACTCTGATTCCCCCTCCCACCTATCAGCTGTTCAGCCGGGAATGCTGGTACAGTCTAGGAACCAAGCGCAGACGTCTATGGAACCCGTTTAAACCACCTTGTTAGAAACGGTCTCTCAGCCCTGAAGATGTTGGGGAGTTTTCCCAACGAAAGCTTGGCAACTTTTTAATATAGTAAAATACTTTAATTAAAGTATTTTAACTTTAAACTTTCCTGGTGAACGCGCTTTATTCATTCCATTTATTTATTTATATATATATATATATATATATATATATATATATATATATATATATATATATATATATATATATATATATATATATTAGAAATAAAAACAAAAATGCGACTCTTGGGAATATTCATATTGTCCAAATAATAATGATCACCAAGAGAATATCTATAAAAATAGAAATTTAATCCACCGAGCTTTCGTCAAATACACTTGACATCGTCAGGGTTAAAAGGCAAACGCCGGGGGGGAGTCTTATATACAGTTGTTTAATGCCTGTTTCCGGCTCCTGGAGCGCGTCATAGGCCCCAGCTGATCGGGTTGAGTCCTAAGCACACGCCCCACATCAGCATCTGTCCCCGTTCCATTGCTGGTTTGCGTTCGATTATATGTTGCTTCGTTAGCTGTTACCGGGTTGGGGGTCCAGATCCTTTTACCTTCCCTGCTCATAACCCCTCCACCATCCCACACACAATTTCCCTTTGTGAGCGGGGGTGGGCAATTATCTGCACTGCTTTCAATACCCCTGCAAGCCCCAAGGCTGCTTTGATCTTGTTTTCCTATCCCTCGAGATTGTAACACGGGCTCATAGTCCCCACCCATACTATTCCTCCTCCCCTCCTTCTTCCCGTAGGTTCTCCTGAGCGGTCTGCTGTTCGTTTCCACGCTCTCTCTCTTGCGCACAGTCACGATGTTTCTTGCCGTTGTTCCGCTGTCAGTGCCTCGTTGTTCCATCCATTGTCGATGAGCACCATTGCCGTTCATCCCCAATTCTCCGCTCCCACTCCGTACGGTGCTCTTCCCCTTTAATTGCAGTCGCTGTTTCATCTCGCAACTTTGTGTTGAGAGTATCCAAGGGGGGTGCATTCTTCTACTCGACTGTGACCGGGTTGTCATGGTGTGCGTGGTAATATCCTCAGAGGGGGATTCGTCCTCGGTCTCATCGTCTTGGTTGGACTTAGTTGTATTCCATTTTTCTTTCGGTTCCTCGGGCTCCACTCCGTCTCCATTCCATCCCACCGGTGATCCGTTCCCTACGGATCGTGGCGCACCCAGCCGCAGTTGCCTGCTAGAGTTAATCTGTTGTTGATCCGGGAGGGGGGAGCTGTCAATGGAGACTCCATTGCTGTAATTGCGTAGGGAGGGGGGCTGGGCGATGTTCTTTTGATTATAAGTTTTTTGATTGGGTCCCCTCCCCACATTAGTACAATTACCGGCACTCCATATTTTTAGAGCTTGGTGCGCTGCACACAAATCTACACGCCGATTAATGGATTCCGTTCCTGAGAACCATGCCTCTTTCAATAGGCGGCCTCTTTTTGTCGTATCATTGGCCAAGATTTGGGCGTTCTCAAGATCGAAGCGATGATCGTATTCTGCTACATGGGCCCAGATCTGCGAATGTTGCTCGCCTCGTCTAACAGCCAGCTTATGCTCGTGTAAACGAGTCTTAAGTCTTTTCGAGGTCTCGCCTATATAATTGCTCTGACAGTCTGTGCAATTGATTCTATAAACCACGGCTGATCTCTCGGCGGTAGGGAGCTGGTCTTTGGGGCGCATCACTTTAGCCCGTAGGGTCTGGGTAGGTTTGTGAGCTACCTGTATGTTGTGGGGTGCCAGGAGCCTAGCAGTGGCTTCTGACACATTGCTGATGTACGGTAGCGACACTCGTACGGTTCGTGTCCGGGGTTCCTCTCTTTGTTGTCCATTTCGAGGTCCTGATGCCATACTGTGTCGCTTAATAAACCTTGGGGGGTACCCATTCATCCGGCATATGCGGAACAGATGTCGTTTAGAGGCACTCCCATTTCGGGGTTGGCGAAGTGGCTTAGTGATCGCATATCCTACCTGGTCGATGGCAGCCCTACTACAGTTAGATCCGCGGAGGAGTTCCTGGAGAGGATCAGGACCCTTAGGGTGGAGGAGGATGAGGTGATGGTCTCTTTTGACGTCACCTCACTCTTCACCTCCATCCCCCAAGACCTGGCCCTGAGAGTCCTAAGGGATAGATTAGAAAAACTAGGAAAAACCGGACACCGGGATTCCCTGCAACCGGGGGATCTAGCGCAACTCATTGAGCTATGCCTTACAACTTACTTCTCCTTTCAAGACAGTATATACGAACAAGTCAAGGGCACACCGATGGGCTCCCCAATATCCAGCGTGGTGGCGGAAGCGGTTCTACAACAATTGGAACACGAGGCCATGACCCGTCAACAGCCCAAGTTTTGGGCACGGTATGTTGACGACACTTTTGCTGTCGTCAAACGATGCCATCTAGCTGGCTTTATGGGAGTATTAAATTCAATATACCCGGACATTAAATTTACGATGGAGGAGGAGATCCGGGGCTCGATAGCCTTCTTGGACGTATTGGTCCAACGTTCCTTAGATGGAACCCTGAACACCAAGGTCTATCGGAAGCCCACCCACACGGATCGAATCCTCCATTTTTATAGCAACCATCCGGCCTCCCATAAGGCCAGCTGCATTAAGACCTTGTTTAAACGGGTGCAATCACACTGTAGCACCATGGAGTCTAAGGCAGAAGAAAGAAAACATCTGTTCCGTATATGCCGGATGAATGGGTACCCCCCAAGGTTTATTAAGCGACACAGTATGGCATCAGGACCTCGAAATGGACAACAAAGAGAGGAACCTGGACACGAACCGTACGAGTGTCGCTACCGTACATCAGCAATGTGTCAGAAGCCACTGCCAGGCTCCTGGCACCCCACAACATACAGGTAGCTCACAAACCTACCCAGACCCTACGGGCTAAAGTGATGCGCCCCAAGGACCAGCTCCCTACCGCCGAGAGGTCAGCCGTAGTTTATAGAATCAATTGCACAGACTGCCAGAGTAATTATATAGGCGAGACCTCGAAAAGACTTAAGACTCGTTTACACGAGCATAAGCTGGCTATTAGACGAGGCGAGCAACATTCGCAGATCTGGGCCCATGTAGCAGAATACGATCATCGCTTCGATTTTGAGAACGCCCAAATCTTGGCCAATGATACGACAAAAAGAGGTCGCCTATTGAAAGAGGCATGGTTCTCAGGAACGGAATCCATTAATCGGCGTGTAGATTTGTGTGCAGCGCACCAAGCTCTAAAAATATGGAGTGCCGGTAATTGTACTAATGTGGGGAGGGGACCCAATCAAAAAACTTATAATCAAAAGAACATCGCCCGGCCCCCCTCCCTACGCAATTACAGCAATGGAGTCTCCATTGACAGCTCCCCCCTCCCGGATCAACAACAGATTAACTCTAGCAGGCAACTGCGGCTGGGTGCGCCACGATCCGTAGGGAACGGATCACCGGTGGGATGGAATGGAGACGGAGTGGAGCCCGAGGAACCGAAAGAAAAACGGAATACAACTAAGTCCAACCAAGACGATGAGACCGAGGACGAATCCCCCTCTGAGGATATTACCACGCACACCATGACAACCCGATCACAGTCGAGTAGAAGAATGCACCCCCCTCGGATACTCTCAACACAAAGTTGCGAGATGAAACAGCGACTGCAATTAAAGGGGAAGAGCACCGTACGGAGTGGGAGCGGAGAATTGGGGATGAACGGCAATGGTGCTCATCGACAATGGATGGAACAACGAGGCACTGACAGCGGAACAACGGCAAGAAACATCGTGACTGTGCGCAAGAGAGAGAGCGTGGAAACGAACAGCAGACCGCTCAGGAGAACCTACGGGAAGAAGGAGGGGAGGAGGAATAGTATGGGTGGGGACTATGAGCCCGTGTTACAATCTCGAGGGATAGGAAAACAAGATCAAAGCAGCCTTGGGGCTTGCAGGGGTATTGAAAGCAGTGCAGATAATTGCCCACCCCCGCTCACAAAGGGAAATTGTGTGTGGGATGGTGGAGGGGTTATGAGCAGGGAAGGTAAAAGGATCTGGACCCCCAACCCGGTAACAGCTAACGAAGCAACATATAATCGAACGCAAACCAGCAATGGAACGGGGACAGATGCTGATGTGGGGCGTATGCTTAGGACTCAACCCGATCAGCTGGGGCCTATGACGCGCTCCAGGAGCCGGAAACAGGCATTAAAGAACTGTATATAAGACTCCCCCCCGGCGTTTGCCTTTTAACCCTGACGATGTCAAGTGTATTTGACGAAAGCTCGGTGGATTAAATTCTATTTTTGATAGATATTCTCTTGGTGATCATTATTATTTGGACAATATATATATATATATATATATATTTACATTGCCCCCATCAATCTGGGTCCTCATTTTACCTACCGCGGAAGGATGGAAGGCTGAGTCAACCTTGAGCCGGTGAGATTTGAACCGCTGACCTGCTGAACACAGTCAGCTAAAGTGGCCTGCAGTACTGCACTGCAACTGCTGCGCCACCTTATAAGTAGGAAACTACAAATACCTGCTCTCCCTCTGTAGTAGTATCTGTCATTTGTATATATAATCTTTTCACACATGCAGGAAATCTGTTTCCAACTGAGGGAATTTATATGACAACATTTTAAATTTTACATCTTACAAGATTTAAGGTTGCTAATGCAGCTAGTCCTCGACATTCACAGTCCATTTAGTGACTGTGGAAAGTTACAGCATGACTGAAAAAAAGTGAATTATGACCGTTTTCCATACTTACGACCATTGCAGCATCCCCATGATCATGTGATCAGAATTTGGATGCTCGGCCATTAGTTCACCTATTTACGACGGTCGCAGTGTTCCGGGGTCAGATTGACTTAAGTTAGTAACATGGTCATTAATAACTGCAGAGATTCACTTAGCAACTGTGGCAAGAAAGTTCGTAAAATGGGGCAAAATGGGGCGCCACCTCGGCTCATCTTCTTGTGGGCTTGTTTGTGGGTTGCCTGAAGGCAGTGTTGAGAGTTTGAGAGTGCCCAGGAGTGAGAACCCGAGGCCCTTGCTCGTGTCGGCCCAGAGATTCCCAGAGAACCCTTTGTCTCCCGAGGCTGCCCATTTGGCGATCCGTTTCTACCGAGTTTTAAAATAAAGACAAACTTGGCCATTATTCTGGAGTACGATTCTCCAATTTTCTCTTCCCGGCCATTGTTTCCCTTCTTTGTCTTTGTGCTGGCCTCTGCTGTCTTGACGGAGGGACTGGGACAGGACCAGTGGGTACTAACTGCTTTTTTTTTATTGTTGCAGTGCGTGCTAGAATATCTTTCTGCTTTCAATGATGAATTGCTGGAATCTCCCCCCGTGGGTCCCGCGAATGGAAGTCCCCCTGCTTTGGACAGTGCAGAGGCAGCGGCGGATAACGGCATGGAGAGGAACACGGATGCGGCAAGCCCAAGCGAAGCAGGGGAAGCCATTCTGAGTGCCCCTGCCTCTGGAAAACCTAAGGCTGAGTTTGCCAGTGGACACACACAGAGTCCTCCATCCTATTACTTCTACCAAGGTCAGTCCCGTAGTGCTGGGTGTTGGGGAGAAGCTTTGTGTTTTAAGGTGGATGTCAAACAATTGTAGCATAAAAGGGAGACAAGTGGGAGGGAGTGTCAGAGCAGAAGTAGCTGATGTTTCCACCCGCTCCCCGATTATCTCAGCTTTTCATTGAATACTCAGGCCCTGCAGGAACCTTGAGGGCTCTCCAGATGCTGGCTCCTATTGTAGGACGGGCTGCAGCTTCCGAAGCTGAGATCAGTGCTACCTTGCTGTGTGTTTAATTTGGTAAACAGTCCTCAGCAGGTCGGCAGTAGAGTTGAAATCCTGCTTTTGCCGGTTAGAAGAAGAGTCGGTTGCTGCTTCTTGACACGGAGTGTATCGATAACACTGTCAGGCGGAAGTTGAGTTGGCTTAGATGCCTCGTCAGAATCGCTCAGTGCACCTTTCTGCTCCAGAATCTAACACACACACACACACACACACACACACACACACACACACACACAGAGTTTCCCTTTTCTGCAGCTGCCCAGATAGCCCTCCAGAAAAAGCTCCGTGGCCTTGGCGAGAGTGTAGTCTGCTCTTCAAAGCACTTTCATTTACTTTGCTAGATATGGAGCAGGAGCACACGGGGGTCCTCGACTCGGCCACTTGTTCAGTGATGGTTCAGAGTTAACGACTGCAGGGGTTCACTTAACAGCCGAGTCAAAAGCAGTAAGATCAGAAACGACTCATTAATGACTGCCTTGCTTAGCAAAGGGAATCCTGGTCCTAATGGTCGTCCTAAGTCAAGAACTACCTGCTGTCTTACCCCGAGGGGTTGTTCTAAGTTCCTAACCTTTTTTTTTTAATTGAAAAGTTTTATACAAGTTTTTAACAATATCCCCCCCCTGAAATAACCTCCTCCCTCCCTCCCCCCCCTCACTTCCCAGAGCTGGTTACAGGGTTACAAATAAACAAGCAAATTCTAAATAAACTTCTCCAACTATACAAATAACAAAATCAATAATGTGCTTTAACTCGAATACAAAACAAATTTAAGCAAAACAACAACAACAATATAAGCGATTCCAAATTAAAAACTAACAATTATTCATAATCTAAATAATACTTTTTAATCCCATATCAACTCTAACCCATATTTACTCTACATGTAATTTATCCATCTTCTCCACGCTGAGGTGTATATTTCTTTTAAACAACCATTCATCCATAATAAACACAAAATTTTCCCTCCAATATAACCCAACCAACAAACTTACATTCGACAAACTTGGCTCTTTGCTTTTTTTTTTTCCTTTCCCTTCTTCTTTTCTTTTCTTTTTCCCACCCCTAAGTAAATCTATTAATACCCTCCTACTTAAAAAGTTTCAGCAAACCGTTCATCTTAATTGCTAAAATTCTCACCAACAGAGATCCTTAGAATTTTAAGTTCCTAATCTTAAATCACTGTCCTGCAACTGTTTTGTTTTTTCTGATGGTGCAGCTGAAGACGGGCAGTGTCTGTATCTGCACCCAGTGAACGTCCGTTGCCTCGTGCATGAATATGGGAGCCTTGAGAAGAGCCCACAGAAGATCACAGCTACTGTGGTGGAGATATCTGGCCACTCAATGACGGAGGTAACGAGTGGGCCTGGGGCCCTTGTGGATGGCCAGACGTTGCCTCTGGGACAGGGGTAGGCAACATCTTGGCTCTTCTGGCTCAGGAATTCTGGGAGCTGAAGTCCACGAGTCATGAAAGAGCCAAGGTTGCCTACTCCTGCTCTGGGAGGAGCATCGGAGCTGTCGTCTGCTAGGAGATGTTTCAGTTCAGTCCTTGCTCAAACTCTTTCTGGGAGCCTTTTGGGATTGCCTGTTTTGCATGCTGGCAATCGGAAGAGCGGAGTTGGGTGTAGGATGCTAAGAAAAAGACACAGGTATGTCTTGAGCAGAGGTTTGAAGCTGCAGGATACAGCTTGACAAACTCTGAGTTTATTCTTTCTTATATACTTTTTACATACATAGGCTTTGCCATTAACTGCTGACATTTTACAGTTAGAAGTTTAACCTTTAGCTGTTGACATAAAGTAATTGAAAAATTCCTTCATATAAGCAATTATTTTCTAGTAACATATTACATGGTCAGAGATCAGGTAAAGACAAATACAGGTAGATGAAAGACAAGAAGAGATAAAGATGGAAAGAGATAAGGGAAGGAACTAAGCATATTATCTGTTTAGGTAGGTAAGATATTAAATCAAAAGGGGGTGATCTTTTGGCTGCTTCCTTGGGACGAAGGGTATCAAAAGGTTATGAGGTTTGTGGGGGGGAAAGCATGGCAGTTTGCTGCGCGTGCAAATTCCCCCACAGTTGGGGGGAGAAGAGTTGGGGGTCCGTTTCTCTTCTCTAAACCACAACTCCCGCCTGCAGGATGTGCGTCAGCGTCATCGCTACCTCTGCCATTTGCCCCTCACCTGTGAGTTCAGTATCTGCGAATTAGCTTTGAAGTCTCCTGTCGTTTCGAAGGAAACCCTGCAGATGTTTTCAGGTGAGATCAGAAAAGCAGATCTCTAGGAGTTCTGCTTTCTGCTATAAAAAAGGGATTTCAAGAAAAAGTTAATCCTCTATTTAGCAGGTGGCAGCACCTGACAAACCCACAGGAGTTCAGAGTTGAGCCACGCTTAGTTTTTTTTAGTTGGAAGACCGCTAGGGATGCTGCAGCTGGAGGCTGTTCTGGGACAGGAGAGAAAAGGTCCAGGCGTGTTCCTGTTGGGCCTAAGGAAGCTTGACGGACGTGGCCGTGAAATCCCCAGGGATTTAGTCAACAGCTTTACTTTCAAGTTCCAACTTACATTACCCACAAGAAACACTACCTAAAAAACAGCTTAGACAACATATCCTCTCATTTTTAAATTAAACCAGTGAGGAAAAACGAATGTTCTGCTTGTTTTTCTGAATGTTTTTAGCCCAAATCTAGTATTTATTTATTTTTAAAATTTATAAGCTGCCCCACTCCCGAAGGACTCTGGGCGGCTAACAATAAAAAAAAAACATAAAACATAACAAAACAACAATACACAAACAATCATCCAGGGGTAAGGTTTTATAAACCCCAGGCCTGCCGGAAAAGCCAGGTCTTAAGTAGCTTATGGAAGACCAACGGTGGGAGCGGTCCTAATCTCCGGGGGGAGCTGATTCCAAAGCGTGGGCGCCATCACAGAGAAGGCCTTCCTCCGCGGCCCCGCCCAATGGCACTGCTTGGCCGACGGGGCCCGAAGGAGGCCCAGCCTGTGGGATCTAACCGGACGTAGGGAACTATGAGGTAGTAGGCGGTCTCGCAAATAGCCTGGCCCTGAGCCATATAGGGCTTTAAAGGTAATGACCAACACCTTGAATTGGACCCGGAGACCAATAGGCAACCAGTGCAGCTCACGGAGGATAGGTGTAACGTGGGTGTATCGAGGAGCACCATCCCTAGCGTTACACCTAGTATTTGAGATTTGGGCTGAAAAAAGAAAGGCAGTTAATGGAAGTATTGAATTTGGAAATGAGAGACTGGATCCATGAATGACTTCAGTAGTCAGTGAAATCTGAAGTCCGGGCGCTGGATTGGGCTTCTGAGGGATAGGGGAGAGGAACCTGAACGGGAGATTTGGTTGCCCACAGTAGCCCACCTCACCCAGACTCTCTTCCAATGGCCCCCAGATGACATTGAAAAACGAAAGCGGCTTAGGCAGAAGAAAGCGCGCGATGAACGACGTCGGGAACGCAGAATTGAGATGGAGGAAAACAAGAAGCAGGGCAAATGTGAGTGGCGGTCCTGAGCACAGCTCATCTGTGTGTCTTTTTGTTTAAAAAAAAAATTATTAAGTACAAAGAAAAAAAAAGGATTAAAAACATTGAACATGGTAAATCGTCTTTGACTGACATCTCAGTCCATATTGTACATGAATTACATATAATATACTTATATACAACGAATAGTAGTAAAGTTGGAAGGGACCTTGGAGGTCATCGAGTCCAACCCCCTGCTCAGGCAGGAAACCCTACACCATTTCGGACAAAGGGCTGTCCAGTCTCTTCTTAAAAACTTCCAGTGTTGGAACATTTACTGCTTCTGGAGGCAGGCTGTTCCACTGATTAATTGTTCTCACTGTCAGGAAGTTTCTCCTTAGTTCTAGGTTGCTTCTCTCCTTGATTAATTTCCACCCGTTGCTTCTTGTCCTGCCTTCAGGTGCTTTGGAGAATAGCTTAATTCCCTCTTCTTTATGGCAGCCCCTGAGATATTGGAATACTGCTCTCATGTCCCCCCTCGTCCTTCTCTTCGTTAAACTAGACATACCCAATTCTAGCAACCATTCCTTATATGTTTTAGCCTCCAGTCCCCTAAACATTTCTAGTCTCTATCTCAGTTTATCTCTTTACTGTGACCTCCATTTTTTTCCCTCCATCTATAAAATTTATTCCATATTCGATAAAATTCTGTTTCTTCCTGATTTTTTAATCTTTTAGTTATCCTACCTAGTTCTGCGCAGTACATAATTTTCTTTATTAGTGCTTCCCCATTCAGTACTTCCATTGCTTTCCACTTTTGAGCAAATAGTATCCTTGCTGCTGTGACCACAAGGATAATTAAATATGTGTCCTCTTTATTTACATTTTTCTCTAGTATTCCTAATAGTAATGTCTCCGGTTTGTATTGAATGTTTTGCCTAGTCATTTCTATTGCCCAATCCCAGACCATACGCCAGTACATCTGTGTGTCTTTTATTACCCAGTATGCAGGCAGAGTCAGCCAGTTGGGTGTAGTGGCGAAGGCATCCAGCTACCTCAGGAAGACTGTGTGTTCTAATCCTGCCATGGGCACAAAGCCAAGTGTCTAGGCACATTCTCCCTTCCCTGGGAAGGAGGCAGTGGCAAACCACTTGTGAAAACCTTGCCAAGAAAACTGCAGGGTGCTTGTCCAATCAGACACAATTGAATGGAAGGGGGAAAGGCGCACGTCTAGGCCTAGTTTGGCAGAGATGGGAAGCAAAGTCTGTAGTAAGGGATCATTTGCACCATACTTTGGCAAAGTTTGCTTGCCTAGTGCAAAAATGGAACAAACCAAGTAGAGAAGCCACAGTGCTCCTGGGAAGAAAAGGAAGGAGCCTAACTTCAGTTGACCAGGGTACTTGAAGAGAAAACTATTGAGTTCGCTATGGAAGTGCAACTTCTGCTTTTACGTCTAGATCCAGAGGTCCGGATTGCGTTAGAGAACCTGCAGCAGTTTCCGGCCTTCAGCGCTGGCTCCGGAGAGCCTGCTGGTCCTGAGGATGAGAGTCACCTGCTGCCAGCTTGTGTTGGAGGAAGTCCCACTTCCCAGTCAGGTGAGCAGCCAAAGCAACGTCAGCCATCAGCAGCGTCTTCTAAAGCAGCATTTCTGGACCTTGGCAGCTGGAAGATGTGCAGACTTCAGCTTCCAGAATTCTCCAGCCAGCATGCTAGGAGTTGAAGTCCACACATCTTACACTTGCTGTGGTTGAGAAACACTTGTGTAAAGGCTTATTCAATTCCGTTTCCTGCACCAGTCAGTGGTGACACTTAACATTTGCATAACTCAGTCCAGGGGGATCGTAATGCAGCTGCAGGCCTGCCAGATGCTTCCAAAAGCAAAGCGATTGTAAGGACCCACCCCACTTTGCACCTTAAGAAGACAGAACTCTTGGAATATTTCTTCCAACAGGCATCCTTTATTAAGGGAAAATGGTTGCAGGCGTGCTAGATAGGACCTGGGGCCCAAGCCCTACGGTTCAAGGTTTTAAGGGGCCCCAGTAGCCCCACCCCACCATCTTTCCTGCGACAATCCCAGGCGTTACATTTTCACCCCTTTTTCCTCACTGCTGGTGGAAGGGAGACTTCAGAGAGGAGTAGATGAAAGCTGATGGCACCATTATTATGTTTAGTCCTTTTGGTGGTACCCACATTCAGTCCCTTTGAAGTTGTACCAAAGGAAGTGAGGGCCATAAAGCCCCTTTGTTCACCCCCCTTCCCCTTCATCGTATGACAGAATCCAGAGAGGGCAGAAATGGGGTTTTCCATAGTCGATCACTAGAGATGAAATCTAATTGGATTTTGACAGCGATAGACGTTTGCAAGCTGGAACTCTAAGAGAACTGAAAATCAATTACAGGATGCCCATGTCTGAAAAACGAGGGTTAATACAGTAATAAAAGTGGAATTTGGGGGGCACAGTATCAAAAGCCTGTAACTTACGTTCCCTGCCTCTTTAGTAACGAGTCTTCATTCTCATACTCAATATTTGGCTTTGTGTCTTCCAGAGTCCTTGCTGACTCCGCTGTCCTCTTCCAGCCTTGGCAGTCCCCCGTTCCTTATTGGAAGCCTGGAGGAGGACCCTGCCTTCCCCTCATTTGCCCAGGTGGGTGCGGCTGTTTGCAAGACCTTCTCATTTTCTGGAGAGCAGAAGTTGAGCCTGAACTTGGCCTCCACTGCTGAATAAATCTGAATTGTAGAAATTGCTATTCCCTTTCTCATTTGTTACAAGCCGTTTTATTGGTAATCACTTGGTAAACAGATGATCCAGCTTGACTCCCAAATCAATAAAAAGTCAGCATGTGAGGCGAATAATCTGGTTTCTGAGTCCCATCTTGCAACTTTTCAGATGCTGAGGGCTGGAAAAGCCAAACCAGAACTGTGGAATGGTTCTCAGCCAAAGAAGAAAGGTAAGCGGGATTATTCTGTTGGGCTAGTCCAGGGATAGGCAACCTCGGCTCTTTTATGCTGATTCTAGAATTCTGGGAATTGAAGTCCATGATCATAAAAGAGTCGAGGTTGCCTACTCCTGGTGGTGGTTCATTTGCCCAAAGATGTTTCATCATCTAGTAAGATCATCAATGTGAGGGAGCTGCTGTTTATATTCAGCAGTTTTTTACAGTAGTCCTTTCTAAATAATCGTGCGGTGAAGGTCTCAGTTGATGATCCTATCTTCCTTGGGCCTCACATTTGAAATGGCCAACAACAGTGATGAAATGCACTAAAAGTGAGCCTCTGTCAATAAGATTAAGCGTAAAATGAGCCAAGGAAAGCCCTAAAGCACTCTTGTAATATTCAGATGAGTTGTACATTTTAACCCATGACCACCTGGAAGGCCCAAGGCCTCAATCTTTTCCTGACAAAGGGAGAGCCACCCGAGAAGAGCTCGTGATGATGGTGAGAGCCTGTTTAGCCTTTCCAGGAATCTCAAAGCCACATTTTTCAGAAGAGACCCCCACTCATTTTTCAGAAGAGACCCCCACTGGGGCACCTCCGGCTCCAGGAGACAGCGATGCGGAGAGTGACAGCTCGGACCGTGTGCCTGTGCCTAGTTTCCAGAACTCGTTCAGTAAAGCTATCGAGGCAGCCTTCCTCAAACTGGACACACCGTCCACTTCTGACCACCTCTTAGGTAAGTCAAGGAAAAGGGCGTTGTTAGCCCTTAATTCTGTGCAAATGCAGGTGCAGCTGGGCTACCCGTTTCTTTAGTCATCCCCAGGACATTTGCCCCATCGTGGTCATTCCTGTCTTAAATTTCTCCAGCTTAATACAAGTGTTGCTGTTGTTAATTGCGAAGTTGTGTCTGACCCATCGCGACCCCATGGACAATGTTCCTCCAGGCCTTCCTGTCCTCTACCATCCTCTGGAGTCCATTTAAGCTCATGCCTACTGCGTCAGTGACTCCATCCAGCCACCTCATTCTCTGTTGTCCCCTTCTTCTATTGTCCTCAATTTTCCCAGCATTAGGCCCTTCTCCAGGGAGTCCTTCCTTCTCATTAGGTGGCCAAAGAACTTGAGTTTCAACTTCAGGATCTGGCCTTCTAAAGAGCAGTCGGGGTTGATCTCCTCCAGGACTGACCGGTTTGATCGCCTTGCAGTCCAGGGGACTCGCAGGAGTCTTCTCCAGCACCAGAGTTCAAAGGCCTCCATTCTTTGGCGCTCAGCCTTTCTTTACGGTCCAACTTTCACAGCCATATATTGCAACTGGGAAAACCATGGCCTTGACTATTTGCACTTTTGTTGGCAGGGTGATGTCTCTGTTTTTTAGTATGCTGTCTAGATTTGCCATAGCTTTCCTCCCCAGGAGCAAGCGTCTTTTAATTTCTTGTCTGTAGTCCCCATCTGAGGTGATCTTGGAGCCCAGGAAGATAAAATCTGTCACGACCTCCATTTCTTCCCCATCTATTTGCCACTTATGACCACAGTTGAGCCCGAACTTTCTGTTGCTAAGTGAGATATTTGTTGAGTGAGTTTTGCTCCATTTTACGACTTTTCTTGCCACAGTTGTTAAGTGAATCTGGCTTCCCCGTGGACTTTGCTTGTCAAACAGTTGCAAAGGGGGATTTCTTACATGACCCCCGGGACGCTGCGACCGTCGTATGTTACGGTGCCAAGTATCTGAATTTTGATCACATGACTGTGGTCGTGCTGAAATGGCCGTTAAGGGCGAAAAATGGTCAAGCCACGTTTTTCAGTGCTGTTGAAACTTTGAACGATCCCTAAATGGAAGTCGAGGGTTACCCGTACAGTGTACGAGTCATAATCTTTTTAGATGGGGTGATAATGCCAACTTGCACTAGTCTCGCTGAGATCATGAGTTGTAAGCTGCCTTGGGCAGTACATTAAACCAATCAATCAACCAATCAACAAATGCTGCATTAACAGAGGGATAGAATCAAGATCACGTGAAGTATTAATGCCACTCTACAATGCCTTGGTAAAGCCACACTTGGAATACTGTATCCAGTTTTGGTTACCATGATGTAAAAAAGATGTTGAGACTCTAGAAAGAGGGCAGAGAAGAGCAACAAAGATGATTAGGGGACTGGAGGCTAAAACATATAAGGAACGGTTGCTAGAATTGGGTATGTCTAGTTTAACGAAGAGAAGGACAAGGGGGGACATGATAGCAGTATTCCAATATCTCAGGGGCTGCCATAAAGACGAGGGAATTAAGCTATTTTCCAAAGCACCTGAAGGCAGGACAAGAAGCAACGGGTGGAAACTCATCAAGGAGAGAAGCAACCTAGAACTAAGGAGAAACTTCCTGACAGTTAGAACAATTAACCAGTGGAACAACCTGCCTCCAGAAGCAGTAAATGCTCCAACATTGGAAGTTTTTAAGAAGAGACTGGATAGCCATTTGTCCGAAATGGTGTAGGGTTTCCCGCCTGAGCAGGGGGTTGGACTAGATGACCTCCAAGGTCCCTTCCAACTTTACTACTACTACTACTACTACTAAATAAATATTTTTTTTTAAAAAAAAAAGTGCCAGGAAATAATATTTAGCCAACTCTACATGTCTGCTGGCAAGAGTGGATTTTTTAACAAAATAAAATTGTTATGCATCACACCGTAGGCAGATATGGCAGAAGCTGCAGCTTCTTTGCTCCTCAAGCACAGCTGCCTAGGAATGTTGGCTTGGGGACAGACGGGGCACCGGTCAGCACTGCCGCCAGGCTTGAGAGGAGATTCCTCCCCAGTTAGGGCTACCCTCCCCTTGCAAATAGTTCAGCAAATGAAATGAAAGTTGCACAAATGAAAATTGCCCCGAAAGGCCCTGATGGCTGTTTTTCTTTTCTTTTTTTTTTGCAGAGGAAAAGCGAGGCAAGAAAAAGAAGCAGAAGCAAAAACTCCTGTTCAGTACTTCAGTGGTTCACACAAAGTGATTTTATTAATGGGCAAATTCTTCCTCCTTTTGATTTATTTGGTTTGCTTTTGTGTTTTTGCTGCTATAGATAAATTATTTTAGTCGGGACACAATCTGTTTCTGAGAAGCGGGGGGGGGGGCGGAGGAGAGGGCTAGGGATGATTAAAAATGGGCATATGTTGGTTGCTTGTTGATACCAAACTGAAGTATTGCAACACACACCCCTGGCCAAAAGGATGTGTGTTATATGCCAGGCTGTTTACCTGGCTTGCCGTTGGGCTGTGGAAGTACAACATCTGGGTGGAGGGTGCACAGCTGCTTTTGCCATTTGGGTGAGGGGTTGAGTGCAATCAGCCTGGGGCTGCAGTGGGCTAAGCGCAACCAAGTTGCTGGACATGGGGAAGACACCAACCAATACTTGCTGTGCCCACTTACTTAGCATTTGGATGAGCAGTAGGTGGTGGTGCACGCAACTCAGTTCCTGCCTCCCCTTGCTATTCTTTGTCTTTCTGCCAAGACCGGTGTGTGCAGACGTTTTGTTGGATGAAAGCTACCCTGGTCAATCCGTGTGCAGTGGCTGCTTTTGGGGTGAAGGTGCTAATTCCTGGGGGGGGGGAGGGATGGGGAGCAGCATTTCGCTTTGCACAGAAGGGGCAACCCAGAGGAGCCTGGCATTTGCTGGGTGCCCAAATCCAGTTGGATAGGAGTACGTGTGTTCTTTCCCCACTTTCGTTTCTTCTGTTTTGAGAAAAGCTCTCCTCCCGCGTTGCTTTTGGCTTGATCTGAAATTAAATTCGTACTAAAGTGTCATTTCCATTGACTATGATAAAATTCAGTGTAATCTACCAGCAAAGGTAAATAGTTGCAATAAACCATATGCACAAGGGTTTCTTTTTTCTTTTTCCCCTCGTTCTATTTTTGATTGAGTCAGACTCCTTTGCAATCAGTTTGCTTCGTTATGATCAGACATTACCCGGGTGAAAAACATGTAGCTGATCTTCCAGAACAGGAAGCTGTGGCTTTGTTACTCCGTTGCAGACCAAACCAGTAACGCATCAGGCAGCAACTTAAGACTAACAGACCAATGATCTGTGTGATCTCTTTTAGTAGTAGATGCCTGGAATAACCTTTCTTAAATCATACCTGAAAGACTGTATATGTTCCTCCCTGAGAATCTTCCCTCGGTATATGGTGGGATTGTAGAAACTTGTTTTTGGTTAATACCAGTGGCCCTCGACTTGACCAATTTCAGTCACTAAGCAGTATAGTAGTTAAGTGAGTCACCAGGGGACTGAGTCCAATTTTATAACCAGTTTTACTCTGGTTCTTAAGCTAAGACACCCCCCTTCCTCTCAGTGTGTACCTTGCTCCCCTCCTTCCTTTTTTGTCGATTTTTAAATCAGTTTTAGTGTTAATACTGTCCTAACGGTTTATCTTGTTTTTATTGATTGTAAGCTGCCTAGAGTCATCTTTGGAGAAGATGGGTGGCATAGAAGTTTAATGAATAAATTATGACCGCAATTGCTAAGTGAGTCACGTCATTAAGTGAATCGTGCACTTAAGTAAACCTGGTTTCTCTTGATTCACTTGACTTGTCAGAAGACGATTGGGAAGGTCTCGGGTCACGATCGTGTGACTGCAAGACTCCTGCAACAATCACAGATGAAGTTGGCTGCCAAGCACCCAGCTTCTCATCTCATGACGAGGGTCACGTGACGTAACTTCAAGGATGGGATGGGCCATTACGTCACTTTTTCGAGGCCGTTATAAGTTTTGAACCTTTATTAAATGAATGGTCTAGGGCTCCCTGTAGATGCTGCTTTGGCTTCAGATACAAAATAGTACAACTATTAGTACTTCAGCCAGCAGGATGTCTAATGACTTTCTGTGTGCTAAATCCAAGATTCACAGACCACGCTGTCCGTATATATATGACACGCCATGCCCCCAAAAGCTCAAACTTGGCTCAAAAACAGTAACTGTGAGAGGGACCTTGGAGTCCAAGTGGACGATCACTTGACCATGAGCCAGCTGTGTGCAGCAGCAACCAAAAACAGCCAATACAATCCTGGGTTGTATAAACAGAGGCATGATAGATACATACACATTTGAATGCCCTTGTCAGAATCCAATTATGTTTCATATCTCGTTATCGACTATGGAAAACCCCATTTCTGCCCTCTCTGGATTCTGTCATCCAATGAAGGGGAAGGGGTGTGAACAAAGGGGCTTTATGGCCCTCACTTCCTTCAGTACAACTTCAAAGGGATTGAATGTGGATACCACCAAAAGGACTAAAGCATAACAATGGGGCCATCAGCTTTCATCTACTCCCCTCTGAAGTCTCCCGCCCGCGGAATGTAAGACCTGGGATTGTCACTGGAAAGATGGTAGGGTGGGGCTGCTGGGGACCCCTTAAAACCTTGAACCGTAGGGCTTGGGCCCCAGGTCCTGTCTAGAACGCCTGCAACCATTTTCTCTTAATAAAGGGTGTCTGTTGGAAGAAATATTCCAAGAGTTCTGTCTTCTTAAGATGCAAAGTGGGGTGGGTCCTTAAACAGCCCTCTGATCCTGAGTGTCTGGATGGCTCACTTCATCCACCAACACATACACACACACACACACACACACCCTTGAAAATAATACACTCATGAAATTTTGGTTTTTTATTTCATTGTTTAGCCCCTTAGAACAGTACTCTAGTCTCCATTAATGGTATGCCTTCAACATAATAAACCTAACTACAATATGAAATTATCAGAATGATTCAAAAAAGGAAAATGTACCAAGAACGTGCGCATCTTCCAAATTCAGATCTTGTTAACTGTTGCTAATTACATCCCAAACAATCTTCTAGATTTGCTACTGCTCGTCAACTGGGTTTCACTTGGGTAGCCTTTTGCTGTTCCTATCTGAGATGGAAGGACACCATTTTGCCTGCTCTGTGGGCTGTTGGGTGCTGCCAACCACGCCTACTTGCTGCTCAGGCTGCCATCTTTGCAGACTTGCGAACTGCACTCTGCAAATCCACCAGTGGACCCCGTGTGAATTCATGGTCTTAGTTTTCTAGGAAATGCACTAAAGCCACGCTTAGAAAACAGGCATCATGCTGCACCATAATTTCCAACCAGTGTCCAGCTCTTTGTGGTTTTCCTATGGGTCAAAAAGCTTCCCTCCCCTCCTCTGCCCTTGAGCAAACAGGAGCAGAGGCCCTTGGCGGATACACACAGCTTCAGCTAGTTTTATAAACAGATGTGTAAAAATAAAAATAGAAGGGGGGGGGGGAAAGTGCTGATCTTTGCCCATGAGAAGCACACAATCCTTCTCCTTGCCTAAGCACTTCAGGGGTGATGTGATTCAGTCCGTGTTCTCCTCACTCTCTTCATCTTTGCTCTGGAACTGCTCCACTCCCACAAGCGCACAGCTCTGGACCGACTTCCGGATAGCTTCTCTATCAGCTGTTAAAACAGGTGAAAGGAATTTGCAAGACACCCTCACTGGCATGTTAATAAAGGCCTCACCCTCTTCCAGTGGCCCTCATTCAGTTGAAGTAATGGCAATGGGGTGTCTCTAGTGTTTTTCAATCCTGGCAACTTCAACAAGTCTTGTGGACTTCAAATCCCAGAATTCCCTAGCCACTCACTTTCTGCTGGCCGAGGAAGTCTGGAAGCTGAAGTCTTACAGTTAACCAAGGTTGAGAAATACTTCCCCCAACTGGGACTGCAGCACCCAGAATTCCCCACCCAACGAATGGCCGTTCTTGATTATCTAACCCTGTTGGTCTTGAGTTCAAGCATCTGGAGCAACAGCAAATGGCTACCACCCACCTTTTGCTTTACCATGGCTTTGACTATTCATACACCATCCAGATTTCACTTTTTGACCATTAGGAATTAGAAATTAGAAGAAGCAAGTTCAGACTTCCAGGAAGCTGGTATTCTGCACAGGTTTTCAGTACTCCCACTGTACTGTACTTATGGGTGATAGTCATTCTTTGTGAAAAATATATAGGGGATTTGATTTAAAGAAAAAAAAGTAGCCAAAAAGGGGGGGGGGGAGGAAGAAGGCCAAGGGAACCCCAGTGCTTACGCAATTAGGTAATTAGTAACCAATTCTTGGTAATGTTAGATTCAATCTCTTTTTAAAAGGCATTCTGATCTCAGACTAGCTAGGACAGTGTTTCTCTATCTTGGCAACTGGAATTGAAGTCCATATATTTTCAGGAGATATAATCGAGGAGATATACAAGGATTTGTCTTCCTATAACAGGGACCTGCATAATTCCTGGGTTGGAGGCTGCAGTTCATGTTTTTTTTTTTTTTTTTAAAGCAACCACTACAAACAACACAGCTCTAAAGAACTGATTTATCAAGCTGTGGCCTGCCACTGCCTCATTCCTCATTTTACTGAAAGCGTATAGGTCTTACTTGGGTTTCAGAGAGATTTTTTAGAAAGGAAGGTTAAGTTGTGGGAATTCCATCACTGGAGGTTTTCGAGAAGAGATTGGACAGCCATTTATCCAAGTGGTAAAGGGTCTCCTGCTCAAGGAGAGGGTTGGACTAGATGACCTCCAAGGTCCCTTCCCACTCTATTATTCTGTTCTAAGTTAGAGGCTGCAGCACTTTGCTCAGGGCTAGGCCAACATTCCAGATTATGATTAATTACCTTCACTGGTACAGTTCCGTAAGAGCAGCAGTAGCTGGTCCCTGTTGTACTGAATGAGGAATTTCTGACACGTGCGGATTGTTGCTAGAAGCAGAGAAGGAAGACATCAGGACTCTGCAGGCAAGGAAATACTTGCAGCCTAAATATTCACTCAGAGTAATGGATTTTTTAAAAAGCCAGGAAACAGATTGTAGCAGGAGAGGTCAAAAATATTCGTCAAATAAAAATCTTGTGGGCACCAAATATATGGAAGGAGACACAATGGAAAAAGTAACAGAGTAAACCACAATGAGATATTCTTGTTGCCCATTTTTAACAGCAAGAAATGAAGACTATACATCAAAGACTCTTGAAGATTAGGCTAGTACAGTGGTGGCGAACCTATGGCACGGGTGCCAGAGGCAGCACTCAGAGCCCTCTCTGTGGGCATGTGCACCGTCGCCCCAATCCTAGGCCTTCAGCTGGGTTTTATAAAACCTTTTCGCTTTAGGCCTCCGCCATGTGCAAAAAAAAAAAAGTTAAATCAGTCAATTTCAACTTCTCGCGGGAAAAAAAAGATCTCGCAAAGTTGGAATTGATTGATTGAACTTTTTAGTCCCATCCAGTCTGCCGTTACCACTGCAGCCACGGCCACCCAATGGGCCACGCCCACCCGGGACCCGATGATACATAAGTGGGTTTGGGGTTGTAGTTTGGGCACTCAGTCTCTAAAACAGCGTTTCTCAACGTTTGTGTGACGGCAACCCCCGTCACACAAACGCGCCGCGCATGAGCGGCGCGCATGCGGGGGGCCACCCCCATGTGCGGCACGCATGTGGGGGCCGCCCCCATGCGCGGCGTGCATGCATGGCACCACCCCCATGCGCGGTGGCGCCCCCATGCGCGGCGTGGCCCCGAGGGGGGAAAATGGCAGATCGCATTGTTTGACGACCCCCGTAAAATGGTCGATCGACCCCAAATGGGGTCGCGACCCATAGGTTGAGAACCGCTGCTCTAAAAGGTTTGCCATCACTGGGCTAGTACAATATGCAAGCTGCAACAATCCAGATAACCACTAGAGGACAGCAAAACACTACTGCTCTTTATCTCTGCTGCCATTTGATGACTTGGAACACTGTATTTACTATTTACGAAATCCAGAAATATTTAAAGTGCATTCTATTTTAGCAGAGAAATAACATGTACGCATAACTAGTGCTTTCTCTCAAAAGCAGGGTCCTCTATTTTCA